TATAATTTATTTTCATTTAAATGATACAATCTAACTTTTATAAATTAAGTTTTAGAATTACTTTTAATATTTCATTGAAATAATTTATTAAAAATTGTATTAATAATTAATTAAATTTTATTAAATATATATTAGCGCTATTAATCTCATTTATTTACTATTTTTGGATGAATTTCAGCTTAATGTAATTGTTCTTCCACTTCTTTCTAAAATTATAAAATTTCTATTATTTACAGTTTAAATTTCTAGGAGGGTTAGACATTCGCTCAAATTATTAACAATTTGATCCCATTCTGATTCTTCTTTTTCTAATCCTAAAATTTTCTCCTACAATTTTACTATATCTACAATCTTATATTCTAATTAATTGAGTTCTTTTCCAAGTTATTTAATAGAATCTATCAATGACTCTTCATCTATTTCTAATTAATTTTACATTTTACAATACCATAAAAAGTTTCTTATTGGCATAACAGAGAATTTAATTCATTTAATTGATTAATAGTTTCTCCTTATTTTTATACAATTCTTTAAATTCCCTTATTCCATTCACTATAATATTTTTCAACTTTTGCAGTATGATTTCTTGGATCAACTTTTTATATTGGTCTTTGTCCTTATTATTAAGATATACCATATCCAATAGAATGATTCACCTGAGGTTATTATTGTTATTATTACTAAATATTTCTAAGAGAATTTTTTTCAATTAACTACAAATTTTTTTAATTTTTTTCAATTTTTTCTTTATTTAATATGGTTTTAGATAAGTTATCAATGTGTTTCTATGTTTCATTTTTTATTTATTAAATTGTATATTATTTATTCTATTATTGTTATTGTTATTGTTATTGTTATTATTATTATTATTAAGGTTATTATTACTATGGCTATTATGGCTATATTAATGGTTGTTATTACATTTATCCAATTTATCCACCTTGTAAGTTAGGATATTATCCTAGAAATCCAGTTTATTAGGTTTAACCAAATTATGCGGTTTATTGACCTAAAATTCCCATTTGCTAACCTTAAGGTTATTATATTAAATTTGTTGTCTATAATGGTTATCCTCCAAATGCTTAAGGTTAACCAATCTAATTTGGTTATTATCCAAGTATTCCTTAATTTTAGGTTTATCCTATTGGTGTAGTCAATTGTTGTGTTTGTCCAAAAATATTGCCGGAAACAGCCGTATTACCAAAAACTAAAGCACTCTATCCTGATAAACCTTATTATTATTGTTAAGGCATTGTATTTTATGTCCCTAGAGTATTTGTAAACATCAATAATTTAAATTATCAAAAAAAACAAAAAAAATATTGAAGCAAAAATTTAAGTTAAAAATAAACTACGCTTTTATTACAAAAGCTACTAAAAGACAAGCAAAATAATTTTTTTTTTTTACTTTAGTGTTTCAATTGTTTGTGGATACAGAATTATTCAATTTCGCTAGGACAATCAATTTAATTTTAGCCTATTTGGAAGAAAGAATTACTTAAAAATGAGGATTAAATGGTATAGAACCATATTTTAATTTGGTTTATGATTATGATTCGGTTTGATTTTCTTCTATTTCCATTTCTTATTATTCAATATTAACTTATTTATGATTACAATTTTGTATATCCTTTAGCCTCATAAATCCTTTCCTTCTATTTTTTGTTTAAGATTTCTTTTCAGAATCCATTTTCGTTAGCATCATATCTTCAAATTAAATTTCTTCTTATTCATTCTATATTTAAATAATAATATTAACTTTAATTTCATTTCCATCTCTATATGTTTTTCTTTATAATTTCCATGGATTACCACAAAATTATGGTTCTAATCTCACTTCTAATTCATCAAAATCTAAATATATATTTCTTAACGTTGGTTATATAATTGGCATTTAAGGCAAACATGATTGTATTTCTGATTAAGGTAGAAAACTTTAAAAGTTGACATCCTTTTAATACTATGTTACTTATCTGAATTCACAATTAATTTAATCTTAGAATTTAATTTAATAATTTTCGCTGAATGCAGCACAACATTAACTCTTTCTTGATATATGTAATTATCTATTCTTATAATTTTCATCTTCAATTTATTTTTTTATCTTTTAAATCTTAGCCTAATGAGCTTTTACTTTTGACATATAAAATTATTGAGTTTGTTCATCAATCAAAAATGTTAATTATCTTTATATCTAAATTATAATATTGTTTTAATAATTTTACTTAAATACTTTATTCATTTTGATTTTTTCTAATACATGGAGCATAATAATTTGGAATTGTTTAAAGAAATTATAAAAATTTTTATTCTGCAAATCTTCTTGTTTCATCAGTAGAATTACTACATTAAATTAAGAGTTCATAATAATTTAAAAAATTAGGGAAATAACTAAAAAAATTGAATATTAAAATTAATACAATCGCAATTCCATAATAGTTGAATTTTACTAAAACAAAAATAATCCAACAAAATATTGATATTATTATTCATCTCGTTTTTCAAAATAAAATATGGGAAATTATAATGTTTTGATTTTAGTAGTTGATATACCCTAGACAAATTTTAATAATGAAGCATTTTCAATAAATATTTCCTAATAAGGTAATTATTAAGGTAATTTAGCCTAAAAAGATACATTAAAATCTACAAAATATTCTGGGTATGCTGGATAATTCTATTAATTAAAATAAGTATAAATACATTAAAATCTGTAAAGGGATATTATTCAGGTAAATAAACTTTAGTAAATATTGTCATATTAGGTTAACATTTTAAACGAACAGAAGCAAAAGATTGATTTGGTTTTTAAGGAGATCTTACCAAATAAGAAGACTGACTTGATTATTAATCAATTTTAGTTTTTTCAATCATTGATTAAATTTCATCATATTTATTTTATTAATCTAAAAGATTTAATTGAATAGATATTTATGGTGGTGTTAATTTTGGATCATCTAAGATTTAGAATAAAATATTATAATCTTGAATTTCGAAACAAACTCCTTAACCTACAGAAGAAGCTAGATGATGCCAATTAGTTGAAATAGAAATTGTATTAGTTTCTTCTAATCCAGGAGGTTGTAATAAAAAAACAAGAAGTCTATAGTCCCATCTAATCAATTAATGGAAAGCAGGTCCCATGTATTCTCTGTTTGTGAATACAAATATGATAGCTGATTCAATTTTCAAGACATCTCTTCCTCCATAAAGATTATCAGTGCCTGTGATTAAAATATATATATTAATAACCATTTAAAGTTCTAAATTTGTTTAAATTGTGGAAACAGTCATCTAAATTGAAGTTAGATTCGAACTATGGTTGAATAGTTTTGAGTTTTTGTAAAAAGTGGCATACATCATTTGTCCATGTTGAGATTGAAGAACTATACACAATATGTAAGGAACAAAAAATTACTTTGACGAAAAAAGATGGTATTAATCATATTTATTTTCTGGATTCTTTGTTCTCTTTTTTACAAAGTATTCTATAGCACTCTTGGCATAATCTAATATTGTGAGTCCATTATAAGTTATTTAACAAGAAGATAAACAATTATCTATCATAAAAGTGAAATTCATTTATAAGTGATGTTAAACTAATATTTTATTTTATTTATTGATAATTTATCTTAATAATTTTAATGAAATAATCACTTTAATCAATTCTATAAACTAAATCCTAGTATGATTTTATCACTGGAATCATGGATAATGAATAAGAAGATATTAAATCAAAAACAACTTACAAAACTTAATTTAAATTTAATAAATCGAAATCATGTTTCTCAATTACTCCAAAATCATAACCATCAAAAGTTAAAAAAAGACCTATTTATTTAAGATTTATTAATCATTCAACTCATTAATAAGAAACTAACAATCTAATTTCTCTGAAGACTCTCTTTAAAGATTACTAATAACCATAAATGTTTAATACTAATTATTCAACATGGTCAACATCTCATAAATAAACAATTTAATCAAATTATATCCCACCTATTAAGAAAAATTATTTGTTAATAAAAACACCAGATAATAATTAACCTGCTGTTGGATATTATAATCCTTCTTTGCCAAAAAAAGTTAGAGGTTCTGTTAAATTGATTTCTTAAAATACTTCATCATAATCATAATCTCTTAATATTTTATTAAATTAAAATGAAAAACAAGAATCTCCTTTATAAAAAGAGGAATTTATTAAAGTACCTGAAGTTAAGATGTAGAGGTATTATGATAATGAAAAAAAGAAATTGATGTCAAAATCATCATTTTAACTTCCTCTTAAAGACTTAAATGAAAATCCTTTCACAAAATAATGGTCTATATTTTTGGCTTATAAAAATAAATTTAAAATATTAAGAGATCATAAATATGAAGATTCACTTAAATGAATATATTACTATAATTCAATTTATTTATTTATCTGATAATCCATCATTTATTTAAAGTAATTTTTCATACATCTATATAATTTCATTTTCACTATATTTCTTAACCATGAAATTTTGAAACAAACTCTAAAAAATCAAAAGTTCATTTTATGACATCTCATTTTCAATCTTTTTATAATCAAATACTTACATACATCTGATAATAAATCAAGTATTTATTCTGGAGTTAAAGTATCAAATTATTTTTATTTTTTCAATTATTAAATCTTAAACATAACTTTTTCTAAGAATTCCAAAAATATAGAAACTGCTGATTCATATAAATCATCAGCAGCTGAAACTATTTTTTATTGTCCATCTTCTTAATTTTCATCTACTTTCAATGAATCTAATAATGATTCTGAATTTAATTCATAATATCTTTCTAAAAGTTTTTCAATAACCAAAATTTTAATTTATTATTTTGTGTATTGTAATTTCTATACTTTAATCATAAGTGAATCAATATGAATTTCTTTTGCTACAGTAATATTATTAATTAATTAACCAATAGGGCCCATAACTAAAACCCATTAATTTTTAACAGGTAGTGAAACCTTTTTAATAGTTTAATTACCATTATTCATACTTATAATAGAATTGAGATTATAACTTAATGCATAAAATTAAGTCAAGTAAATAGGTTTAGTAAAGTAAATAGATCCATTTTTATCAGCTGTTCTTATATTAAATTTATCAGGTGGGTATAATACATTAACTGATCCAAATTAATGATTTATGATATTATTTTTAGATGGAATATGAAAATTTTAAATATGCATAAAAATTGTGGTGTTAAATTCTTACAAACTATTGTTATTATTATTCATTAAAATTGCAGATCGATTTGATATATCTATATAATACTTTTACTAAATTTATTATAACTCTTTTTTCTAATAAAATTAACTAAATTCAAAGATGAATGATAATAAATCTTCATTTTGATCATATATAACTATTTCTTAAAATAATTGATTAATATTCTTATTATAATATTGATGTTTATTTGATTCAGGTTCTAGTTAATCCAACAATGATTAAGCCTAATTTATTTATATGATTTTACTTAGAGTTGTATAAAATTAATAGTTTCTTAATCTTTTATTGGAATTGATGGTATTTGTTTATTGCAAGATAAATTAAAACTTATAGGACAATTCCTATATAGTTAATATCTTTCTGTGGATAATTTCATTCCCTTTTCTAATATTTATAGTCCTTCTTGTATGAATTATGAATATGCACAAAGGAAGAGATAAATTAACATAATGTTATTATTAATTTTATGTTAATTTGTGAATAATTAGATTCTAGTGATAGTGAAAGCTTTGATAAATTAATTGCAATAATTTAGCATTTTAAAATAGATAAAGAAGTCATATAAAATACACGTTTCTAAATTACAGTAAATAGAATAATGATATTAATTCAAGAAATATCCAACTGGACTGTTAGATCTCTCTGATGAAATACTTAATTATTTATAAATTGAATAACATTTATCAGATAGGGATTTTTCAAATCAGTTTCATACTATTTCATTCCTAAAACATTATTTTGATGAAGCATGTTTAATATATACAGTTGTTGAAAAGTATTTGGAAAGCCGATCTAAAGATAATTATAAGGAGGTATTGTATAAGGATAGTATCTAATTAATGTAATTAAGATAAGAGAAATTATTTTTAATATATGCATTAATGTTAGTTTAATTACAAGAGTATGTAGATGAATAATCTTATGATATATTTCTGGAGGGGTAATTTAATTTGTTTTGATTTAAGACTACAAAAAAAATTATAATTAAATGCTTAAATCAAATTTGCATCGTTAAGAGTTAGATCAAAAGAAATATTAGAACATACTTTATTATTGATAGATGAATTAAGAGAAAATAAAATAATGTAAAAGTAAAAACATTCAAGCAGACAATCAGTAATTAATAAATCTTTGATGACTGCTCGATAATAAAAGGAATCTTAATAATAAATATATATAAGTTAATAGAGTCAATGGATGTTTACAGAATTATAAAACAATTAAGTATTTTGTAGAGAATTAATACCTAATTTACGATTCATAATAAAAAATTATTGGAAATCATTTTAGAAAAATAAGGATGATGGTCCAAAGAGATACAACAAAAATTCATCAATTTTTGACTTAAAAAATAGATTTAGTGTTGGAAGTTAGAGAGTAAAAAATGGATTGATAGATTTACCAAATTTAGGACCAATGGAAATTTTAATGAGTACTTAAATATTCCCTAAATAAAAACTAAACGATTTTTTTGATGATGAATAATTGAAACATACTTAAATTATTACATCTTAAATTGATAGTTTATTAAATGAAGAATTATTAGTAAATTTAACTGGAATTGAAATGATTGATATGGATTCAAAAAGTGAATCTACAATTTCAAGAGCTACAATGTAACAAGTATTCAAATAACATTGATATAATATAAAATCAATATACTTTTAAAACATTACCATCAAATTATAAAGTTGACACACCTTCCTATGTTAAGATTGTATTATTTAAAGTGTTTTGCATTGAGATTATTTATTAGGGTATATTATCACATTATATTTCAAATGCTTTAAATACATCAATATTGATATACCAACATAAATTATTAGATATAGCGATCACATTTTACATATATTTAAAATAAAATACTTAATTGCTATTTTTTAATTTTAATTGTCTTTCAGTACATAAAAATGAAGTTTTAGTTATTTATTGAATTCTAATTTTATGTTTATTAGAAATCTTTTCAAATAGCAACCAATATTCCCCAAAATCTAATACTTAAGCTTCATAGTAAGTTGTTCTATATCCAACCTTTTTAAATAAATTTCTTTTAGGCATATATACAAAACAATCTCTTGATCCTACTCTTCTTACTTCATTAGTTATTCCAAATCCAAAAAAATAAAATTCATCTCCATTTATTAAAAATGTACATTCATTTACATTTTATAAATCAAATATTGGGATTTAAACTTCTTTTATTACTGAATGAGGAGATTAAATATATAAGCAATTTTACTATATAATTTATTATTAAGGATTTTCAATTTCATCTTATTCTTCTTCTGCAAACTTTTAGAAATTAACTAATTCTTCAAAAATTAATGTTGAATGCTGTTGTTATTGTTCAAAATGATTCTATGATAAAGATATATATAACAACAAATATTTAAATGTCTTTTAATTTAAAGATTTTGCTAATAGTATTAATTAGCCTTCATCATTTGATTAAATGTATAATATCTCTAAATTACTGGATAAAATGTTTGTATATATTCTAAATACTTATTGAAATTGATAAATTGAATTGTTTTAATATCCATATAAGGTTTATTATTATTATGCCTCTAATAATTATAATGGTTGTGAAGTAAAGAATAATTCTTTTGAATTTAATTTTTAATATTTTCTAATAAATTATATTAATTAATAAGAATCATATCTTTATTCTTCATTCTCTTTTAGCATTTCTTCAAGTAATGGTTTTAAATTAGGGAATTAAAATTATTAAAGAGCCAAATTTATTTCCATCAAATAAAATTATTATTCTTTAGTATTTTTAATTTGATAATTGGAAAGAAGTCTTAAAAATATCAATCCTAAACTGTAAATATTAGCTTTACTAGGATTAATAAATATTTAATTTTAAGTTAAATTTTAGGTATATGCCAAAAATGATTTAGGTTCCATATATTCTAATGAAGACATAAATGGAACTGATTTTTCTTAATAAATACTAGGAATATTTGTTTTATAAATAAGAGAAGCAAAAATAACTGAATTAGGTGTAATAAATATATTATTTGGATGCATATCTTACACAAATATATCATGCAATCTTAATTCATTTAATTTAGTAACACATCTTTTCATTAATTTAAAATTACAATCTTCTTTTTAAATAAGATCACAATTTTCTATAATATAATTTAATCTTAATTTTCCATCATATTATTCCATGCTTAAAAAGAAATCCAATAAATAAGGATCTAGATACTTACACACTTAATAACATTCATCAAAAGATTCAAATTCTACATGTACAATCCTTTATATTAGTAAATAGTTTTATTAATCTTTTTATACAGATAGAATTCTGAATAATGAGGGATTTTAATTAGAAATTGGATAATAAACTTTATTAATGGAGTATTATCCAATTAATTCATCACTTTAATTTTATTTGGTACTAATTTACTTTAATTTGATTTTTTAATCTAATCTACCATGTTCAAATAAGACTTCAAAAACATTAAATGATGTTAAGCACCATTTATCTTAGGATATAAATATTCTATAAACATTTTAATTTTGTAAATATAGAATGAAGTACTTATGATAGATTAAATTACATGATGAATTGATTCCATTAATATTAAGTTTAACACTTTTCTTTTATTTTAGAGAATACAGTATGAGTTCATCTTATTAAATGATAAAGTAAATATCATTAAATTTATAAAATCCAAAATCAGATTTAATTTTCACATCAGTTTGAATTTAATTTAATTAGTTGTTAATATATAGACAACCATCTTATATGCCAATAATCAATAGTTAATTTTGATTATTTATAATATATTTTAGATCATATTGAATTTCAATTTGATTTTCATCATCATATAAATATTGACCATCATAATAATGAACAGTATTATTAATGATAGTGAAAGATTTTACATTTTAAACTTATTTTAATGGTTTAACAATTTTTTTATAAATAGGTAATTATTATTTGGATCTAAATGAAAATATTTATAAGAATTCTTGAAAAGTTAGGTTCTTATCAGAGAAGAATAGAACAATTTCTTAAATTTTATCAAATAAGAGTTGTTATAGTAATGAATTGTCTATAGAATCTGTTTATTGTTATAGAAAGTCATAGAATTATTAAGCAGTGATATAATTTCTTTATTCTAAATCAATATTGCTGAAGATTTCTTATAAATTTTAATTAGTAAAATAAATTCTATCATGAAAGTTTTTATTAGCCTATTTTTAAGTTTGAGTAGTATCTTTAAATTTGAATTAATCTTCTATATAAGTAGTAGGACTATGTTGATTAATTTATAATTGTAATTAGTAATTTTTTTAAGCAGAATCAATTCTCTCTTTTTTTTATTATTCTTTAGTAGCTAAATATTATCTAAGAGAGATTTATAACATTTCTAAAGTATCTTCAAGTTATTCAGAACTGAGTTTAATGGATATCATTCCAATCATATTTTAAAAAGCAAAATAAAATTTATTATCTTAAATATAAGCACTTCCTTTAACAATATTAATTGATTATCCATTTTAATCAATTAATTCATATTAAGTATATGATTTTTAATTTCTTATAGATGTCATATGATAAAAGACTACTTTATTATTAGAATATTCAAAAAGTACATTCTTGATTAAATTATGATTAGTAATATCTTAAAGTATATTTTAAAGTTCAGGATTGGAATGACATTTTAAGAATTGAACATAATCAGATGCTTTTAGATCATATAGATATTGTCTATTTCTATAAAGTAAGAGAATAATATCTTTAATATAAGATTCAATAATATTTTTTTACTTTTGATAGAGTGAATCTATGATATTAGCAAAATCAATATTCTTTTATTTTAATTATTATCTAATATCAGTACCTTTATAAAATGAATTAATGATAAGGATAGCAATATCTTCTAAATCATTAACAAGATTGGCTCTAAAATCTTTAATTTTATTTTTGATGAGTCTTCTTGAGAATCTAAAAGCGGAAAAGCTTAAGTCTAATTTAAATACTTTAGATTTATGATGAATCATGTAAACATTGGATGGCTTAATTCTTAATAACAAATATGAATTACCCTGAATGAACATAAAAATTCTAATGCATAAATTAGATAGTATTGAGTAAATATTCTAATAATGGTTGTATATCTTCTGGTTACAATAATATATTCTCTAAAGACATATCACAATATTCTTATTCTGAAAATACATAATAATTATTGTGTTTCTTATTTAATCTAAAACTGAAATCATGTATCTTATAATTTGCAATTTGCTAATAAAATAGATAATTATCTAATAGATTTGCTACCAATTCTATTTATTTAGTATATAAGATTCGTATTTTTCTAGATTCTCCTACATTATTAGTAAATCCTACAACAATGCTGTAATCATTCTTATTAATTAACCAAACTCTATGAAATGTTAAAATATTAATTACTTAGTCCAATATATATTAGATTGTTCTAAATGCGATAAAAAGAATCTTAACATTTAAATGACATCTGACATTAATTATTTTTCAAGTAATTAAATATCATTTAAAAACTTTTCAAGTATAAATTCTCTTTGTTTCAGCAATTATTCTAATCCTTAATTTTTACCTTAAACTTTAGATTTCTTTTCTTTTTCTTCGCCTGATATAGACATTCTTTATGTTGTATTCTTTCTTGCAGGTATTCCATCTGATGAAATAATTGAAACTTATTTTGAAAGTGTGCTTAATTTAGTAATGTTTTGTTCTCTAGAAGATGTACTTCGTTATTATTGTTATTAATTTTCTTATTTTTTATCTATCTAATCTTCTCCATTTGTTATTTTTATTAATGGAACTGTCTAATTCATTTTTGCATTAGCACATGCTGCACCCATTTATATATATATATTAATATAAATTATTAAATTATTAAAATATTATTATGAATACTGAAATCGCTTCTTTTTTTGATAATCCAGATATTATTGGTAAGTTTCCATCTCTTTGGCAGACTCTTAATTAAGACATTTATGATGTAATTTTTATATCAATTTTTAGAATGATAACATAATTGTAGAGTAAGAATGTTACAAAATATCAAAAAAAAGAAAATAAATGACACCAATAATTATACAAGTTGGAAATGAACATTTATATTACATAAAAAAAGAAACTATGTATTAATTATAAACTACAGTTGTTATGATGACTCTTATAAAAAATGATGAGTATGGTAATATTATAAGGTTATCACGAAATGGAAGATATATTGACTTGAAATTTGAAGATTATACTAATTTTAAGAATCTTCTAAATTATAGATGTTTGTAATCTACTTTCCATGATGAATTTGGTGTAACTAAAATGATTGGTAAAGGAAGTTTTGCCAAAGTATATTTAGCAACAAAAAAATCTACTGGTATCAATTATGCAGTCAAAGCATTTAATAAAGAATTCATGTTAGAATAATTTAAAGGTAGAGAATCATTGGAGAATGAAATTAAAGTGATGAGAAGATTGAATCAAGAGAATTTAGTCAGATTACATGAAGTATATGAAACATAAAATTCAATCTATTTTATATTGGATATTTTAAAAGGAGGAGAATTATTATCTAGAGTTAAATCACATCCTTTATCTGCACCAAATCTATAAAAATTAATGTACAATTTAATGAGAGCACTTTGTCATTTACATTCAAAAAGATGTATACATAGAGATTTGAAACCAGAAAATTTATTATTAAAAGAAAAAGATAATGATACTGATGTAGTAATTGCAGATTTTGGATTAGCTTGTTTTTTAAATGAAGAAATCTTATTTAAAAGATGTGGAACACCTGGATTTGTAGCTCCTGAAATATTAATATATAAAGAAGGAGATCCTTTTTATGATGAAAAATGTGATGTATTTAGTGCTGGAGTTATATTCTTTATACTATTAACTGGTAAATAACCATTTCAAGGAGCAGATTATAAAGCTATTTTAAGAGCAAATAAGAATTGTGAAATCAATTATAATATTAAATAAATATAAACAGTAAATTTATTTATATAATTTATAGGCACCATTATAATTAGTAGATTTATTAAAAAAGATGTTATATCCTGAACCTAAAGCAAGAGTATCTTCTGAAGATTGTCTAAAACATCCATATTTCAAAGAAATCTTTAAAGAATAAGATTTAATTGATGTATAAGAAAGTTTAAGAGATTATGAAAAAGATTTTGTATATGGATTAGGGAAATAATAAGGGTAACTTTATATAATTATCTATATAGACCTTCAAGTTAAGTTGGATCGATGTAATTATAATAAAGATAACCTGCTTTAAATGGTAGAATTGATACTATGGGATCATTTTCTAATGTATCTAATAATGGATCAGTAACAAGATTAGATTAAAAACCATAACCTTAATAAAGTAAATTTAGTTAATTCAGTTAATCAATGAAATAATAATTAAATTCTGAAGCAAGTATTTATCATTTCATTATTCTTTAGATTCGCCTGTTACTAAAAAAAGTAATTAATCAGATTTAAGAAAAACAGCCTTGAAAAATTCGATTTAATAATAATATAATTAAATGGGAAAAGATGAAGATTGTATTAATGATGAAGCAGCTCATTTAGAAGATGCTATATCCAAACTAAATGCTTAAACTCCTAAAATGGGTTTAAAAAAAGCAAGTTCTTATAAAGTTTAAAAATCAACCATGGAATGAGATATATTCATCTATTCGTTTCTAAATCATTCGTTATATAATTAATTCTTTTATATTCTTCTAATAAAATTTTCTTAATTTATTTTCTTTAATAAGAATTTCAGTGATTATAGATTTATAAATACTTTATTTATTTAAGATTTAAGACTCTAGTGATATCATAATTTCATTATATTTTATTTATTCGAATTCATCAAATTTTAATATATAAATGATAAAAACTTTTTATTATTTATCAACATACTACTTCGTAATTTTATTCTACTTTGCTTATACAAACCAAATCTGTATTTGTCATAATTATCCTTATTATGATTACCAATAAATCTATAAGAAAATTTATTTCATTTGCCCTTTATGAAATGTACAAATCAATTAAAACTAACTAAATTTATATTCTTGAAACTATAGGTAGAATGTTGATAGATTAAATTCAAATGGAAAATGAAAGAGAATTTGATAAAAATCATGAATAAATTTCAAACTCTATATTAAATTTATTATAAAAATAAAGTAAATATTAAATGCATATATTTTAATATATATTTACATCACTTTTATCTTTCCAAAACCACTATATCTGTTTAATCTATGTAAATTAAAATATCTGATTCTTAATAACTTACTTTAATAAAAGTTGAATATACTTGTTACTCTATTGAGTGATTATTTATCTAAAATCTTAGCAGTTGATGACACAATAGTTGTTATGAATGGTATTAATTTAGGATTGTCTAAAGTGCCGCTGCTCTAAATATTAATATGATTTATAACCTTTTTAATTCTTCCTGTATATTCTAATATCATTTATCCAATAATTCCACTTTCATCCATTTCTTAATTATAAATAATATGAATTAAAGAATTTTTGATAATACTAAATCAGCATCGAAGCGACTAAAAAGCCCAAGAATTTTCAAAACTGAAGGGAATCATTTGTAATAAAAGAGAGAAAACAAAAGTATAGGTGATAACTAATCTAAATTAAAATCATTTATAAATGATAAATCTGGTTTTGGATAGAGAGATTATAGTGAGAAACAATCATAATTTTAAAAAAAGAGTAAATATATTACATATCTATGAGAATTGATCATAAATAGTTATTCATAATAGAGTAGACAATAATAAAACAATGTTCAATTAAAATACAATTCATTTTTAGACTCAAAATTGAAATTAAACAAATCTAAAGAGATGAATAGAGTACCAATGAGATCACGTAAAGAAATGTGGCATAATTATGTAAGTAAATATGTTACATAAACATAAAAGGTTAATCCTGAAGCATCAGTTCCTGAGAGAAGAGTTTAAAGTTAAATTAATATATTAAAGACAGAGGATTCCTATAATAAAAATAGATCTACAGCTTCGTTATGTAGTCTTGAACCTTAAGATACGCTGTAGTTTAATCTAAAATATATTTATAAAACTAGATAAGGTTATATAGCAAATAATCCAAACAAAGTTAATTAGGATATTTTTTATTGTTAAACTAATCTTATTGAAAATATACATTTATTTTTTGTTTGTGATGGACATGGATAAAATGGTCAGTTTGTGTCAAATTTTATATAAACTAATTTACCTAATAATATTAGAAAAGATAAGATTTAATTATAGTCTTCTTAAATTAAAGAAGTACTCCAAAGATCTATTTAAAATATATCTAATAATGTTAATAAATAAGCTTTTGATACTAATTTTAGTGGTTCTACATTGAATGGTATAATATTATAAGACAATGGGAAAATGTATTCATTTAATGTAGGAGATAGTAGAACAGTGATTGGTAAATTTAATGGTTATGGATAAAAGTTTAAATCCTATTAATTATCAGTTGATCATAAATTAACAATAAAAAAGGAATAATAAAGAATAATCTAATCAGGAGGAAGGATTGATACATTTTATGATTAGAATGGTAAATAATTGATTTCAATCAGGTAATCCTATTGGTCCAATGAGAGTTTGGGTAAATGGAACTTAATATCCAGGTTTAGCAATGAGTAGAAGTATAGGTGATTAAGTAGCTTAATCTGTTGGAGTAAGTAGTATTCCAGATATTGTTGAATATTAATTGGCATATAATGATAAATTTATTGTAATTGCCTCAGATGGAATATGGGAGTTTTTAGATAATTAAATTATTGTTGATATTGTAGCCAAATATTACTAAGAAAATAATATAGAAGGAGCAAGTGAAGAATTATTAAGAGTAGCTTATCGAATGTGGACAATAGATGATGAATCAGTTGTTGATGATATCACTTTTATATTAATATTTATTTAGAATTAATGAATTGATATTAAATGATATTAAATTACTCTATCATTACTAAATAATTACTCCACTGGTATTACTACCACAAGAAATGGATGCAACTCTATTTTACACAAATTATGAAACAACGATAGGTTTATCAGTAAATGACCTAAAGATTATATTTAATGTTACCTTTTTTTATTACCTAATTGTCCATATTCATTATCTCCCCATTATAAGATAGCACCAACATTTGTAAGTGCCATACAATGATTATATCCACATTCAATTTATTTAACTTCAACATTTTCTTATTTACCATTAATATTGATTTTAAAATTAGATAATCCTTCTAATTTAACAATATCACTAATATGTCTAACAAATCCACAACCTAATTATCCTCTAATATTGTGACCACAAGAGAACACTTCAGTTTCTGAATTTTATTTATTTTTTGTAACAAATACACTAAATTCATTTCCAGCAGCCAAATCTAATACTTAATTATTACTATCCATTAAAGCAGATATTCTTAATGGATTATAAACAGCAATTAATGGTTCTCCAACTCTTGAAAATTCTTCTGAATGTGATAATTACATTTAAGAATTTGATCCCCATCCATAAACTGATCCTTCTGTACTAATACATAAAGTATGATTTGATCCACAAATAATTTTATTTACTTTTGGTAAATTTTCTATTTTTGTTGGATTCCTAATTCTTTATTCATAAAATGGTGGTGCTGTACTTCTATTATTAGATCCTAATCCACATTAACCATACGTATCATCACCCATTGTAAATATGGTACCATCATTAGTAAGTGCAACAAAATGATCTTCTCCACATTCTATTTATTTAATATTTTATAAACTATTTATTTTTTTTGGATTATTTATAAATTATCCCTCCTTAACTTAATATTAATAAACATCTCCATTATGTGTCAATGTCCATACAAATTATTTAGTATATTTAATTTATTTAATCTTTCCTTTAGGTANAAAATAATATAGAAGGAGCAAGTGAAGAATTATTAAGAGTAGCTTATCGAATGTGGACAATAGATGATGAATCAGTTGTTGATGATATCACTTTTATATTAATATTTATTTAGAATTAATGAATTGATATTAAATGATATTAAATTACTCTATCATTACTAAATAATTACTCCACTGGTATTACTACCACAAGAAATGGATGCAACTCTATTTTACACAAATTATGAAACAACGATAGGTTTATCAGTAAATGACCTAAAGATTATATTTAATGTTACCTTTTTTTATTACCTAATTGTCCATATTCATTATCTCCCCATTATAAGATAGCACCAACATTTGTAAGTGCCATACAATGATTATATCCACATTCAATTTATTTAACTTCAACATTTTCTTATTTACCATTAATATTGATTTTAAAATTAGATAATCCTTCTAATTTAACAATATCACTAATATGTCTAACAAATCCACAACCTAATTATCCTCTAATATTGTGACCACAAGAGAACACTTCAGTTTCTGAATTTTATTTATTTTTTGTAACAAATACACTAAATTCATTTCCAGCAGCCAAATCTAATACTTAATTATTACTATCCATTAAAGCAGATATTCTTAATGGATTATAAACAGCAATTAATGGTTCTCCAACTCTTGAAAATTCTTCTGAATGTGATAATTACATTTAAGAATTTGATCCCCATCCATAAACTGATCCTTCTGTACTAATACATAAAGTATGATTTGATCCACAAATAATTTTATTTACTTTTGGTAAATTTTCTATTTTTGTTGGATTCCTAATTCTTTATTCATAAAATGGTGGTGCTGTACTTCTATTATTAGATCCTAATCCACATTAACCATACGTATCATCACCCATTGTAAATATGGTACCATCATTAGTAAGTGCAACAAAATGATCTTCTCCACATTCTATTTATTTAATATTTTATAAACTATTTATTTTTTTTGGATTATTTATAAATTATCCCTCCTTAACTTAATATTAATAAACATCTCCATTATGTGTCAATGTCCATACAAATTATTTAGTATATTTAATTTATTTAATCTTTCCTTTAGGTACATTAATTTTAATAATATTTTATCTTTATCCATCATTAATATTTTTATCTTCATAACTTACTAATTTATGAGCAGTCCAAATATATCCATCTCCATTTCCTGTTATACCACTTTCAAATTATTCTGATAAGAATAGCTTCTATAAATTCTTATCATCAAAATCAATCAATTATTTTGGAGTAAAATTATTAAAACTTAAACCTTATCCAGGAAGTGCTTAATAAACTCCATTTCCCCAAATATATGCTTTAGTCTTCTCATTACAATAAAGACTGTATGAACCAGCACTACATAATAATATTGATAATCCTAATTTTCTTAATTTCATAAATAATAATAATTAATTAAATTTTTGGCTGTTAGCATGTAACAATATTAAGTTGGAAGAAGGAATCCTTCATGTAAAATTTATACTTAATAGATTAGAACCATAATAATAATCATTAAAATACAATCAATATCAATCAAGATCACCATTTTAAAGTATTGAAAATACCTAAAATACATAAATCTCATCTAATAAATTTCATCATAAAGCAAGCACTGATATTGATTCTATCAATTAAAATACATCCATTGCAACTAATCCATATTATAATTAATATCTCAAAAGAGCATCCAATTCTAGTCATCAAGATAAACCTCTTGTAAATTTTATTCATTATCTTATATAGTCATTGTAATATAGTAATTCTAAATCTAATCTAAATCCAAATTAATCACATGATTATTCAATATAATTTAAAGTTGGAACCAAAAATGATAAAAAAAATGATTCAGTTAATGAAACTCATTTATCATAATTCATTAATCCAAATAAATAATTTGTTTGTATGAGTCCTACTCAAAATCGTGATAATTCCATTATTTTTTAATCTCCAAAACCAACTCAATAAACTACTATTGTTTAATCCCCATAACCATATAATTTAATCAATACTCCTCTTTATTATAATAATAAAGGATCATAATCTTAGCTTAAAACTATCAATTATAATAATCATAATTTAGTTATTGAATTTAAATAATTACAAGAATCTAATAATTTAATGCAATAAACTATTCATTAAATTGAGACTGAAGTATATAGAGGTTAATCTTCTCAATTTATTCAAGAATTAGAATAAAAAATTCATTTATTGAAATAGCTTAATGAAAAATTATAATATGAAAATTAGTAACTTATTGAATAAACTGATATTTAAAAATTGAAAGAAAATTTTGGAAAATCATAATAAACTCGTAAACTAACATCATAGTAACTTTAGAGTACTAAAAATGAATTATAGTAATACAAATTAAAATGTGATGAATTATAAAATAAAATTGATTAAAATGATGATTCCTAAATTAAAGACCTAGTTATTGAATTAGAAAGTAAAGTTTAAAATCTTATTGCTGAAAATGATAGATTGAATAAATAATTATTTTCAAATTCTAATCATTAAATTAATTCTGATATTACTAAAATTAAAAATGATATTGATAATTTGAATAAATAACAATAACAATTGAAAAGGGAAGAAGATCATTTGAAATTAACATATAAATAAATTGAATAAGTTTATGAGTAAAAAATTGCAGATAATTTATATGCTGATCTAAATGAAAAAATTCAATTATTGATTGAAGAAAATGAAAGATTATAACAAGTCATCAATGATTCTGAATACACAGAATAAGATCTTTAAGAAATCAAATCAAGAGTAAAATAATATTATATATATCTTAGATAAAAGTTGTTAAACAGGATAATTTTAAAATGGAACAGTAATTAAAAAGAAAAAATCATAATAAAAATTATTGATTACTTTTTTCCCTTCTATTAATATAAATTTATTAGATATATTAAATTATCATTTTTTCTTTTTTGGTTAAGATTTTGACTTTTATTATGTAATTTAGGTTTATTATAATAACAATTTATCTTTATCAGCTTAAGCCTTCATTTGAGGTTTGAAATCAAATACTTTCACTATCATTGATGAATTATCTCTTTCCTATAATAAAATATAAAAGATATACTTTTTTACTAATTAAGACAGAGTCTATCCTTTTTAATTAAGGAAGGACATCAATTATATATAATCTAAAATTGATGATCTATTCTATAGGATTACCATATATCTTAAGAGATCTGAACTCTTATAAGTGTGATAACTATATATATATATAAAATATATTACTTATTTTAATTCATTGATATCCTTTATAGAATTAAATGTGAGATATAATGATTATAAATGTGGCAATTCTTTGAAATTATAATCTAAAGTTGTCAATTGATTATATGATAAATCAATCCATCTAAGTAATTCTACATTAGGCATTACAGTTTGCATCACCTAATAAAATCCACTCAAACTAGTTAATTTATTTTAACATAATATTAGTGATTAACAACATAACTCTGGTTTGAACTTAGATTGCTGATTTTGATTTTTATTTTCTTATAATTTACCACCAATTATTTTTCCATTTAATGGTATATTTTATAAAGTAATTAATTATGTTGCGACATTTGTTTATGGAATCAATTAAGCAGGTGGAGGTTATGGAGCATTGCCTTTTTTATTGTCTTGTTATTTTTATGGTTATTATTATTATGGTTAAACTGGCTCTGTTTCTTCCGGCAAAGATTATTATTATTTTAGCACTTATTCTTTTGGAGTATCGTTTTAAACTTCTTAGTTTTCTTACTTCTTTTACTCTTTAAATATCCATTGCTCACCTTCTCTCGGTTTAACTTCTTTATTTTTTAATTCTTTCATAGTAGTTACAATACATACCTTCAAGTTTTTTTATTTCTTTAAATGAATAATCTAAAGTTGTTCTCAGTTTTTTTGTTTCTTTAGGTTCAACAGATAAGCTTTGTTGCTACTTTCCTTAAGGAGGTGATTTTGTTTTTGATTTATTCATTATATATTAATATTTTTATTCATAGTACAAATGTATTGGATATTTCAGTAATGTTGACTCAAGGATTTTTTTGATTATAATTTTTCAATTAGCTGGTTTTATTCTTATAATATTTATAGTAATTCTTTTTTTTCAGTTTATAAAGTTAGATTTTCTTGATAGGCTTTATCTAACATAGATTTGACTCTATTAAGAGTTTTTTTGAGGTCTTGATTGAGTTAATTATGAATAGGAATAGAACGATGAGGAGGTGATAATAATTTGCTGTAGCTTCTCATTTGAAAACTAGTTCTATTATTTTCTTTATTTTATTTAGCTTATTTGCGATTGAGTGATTCAGAGAGTAATTTTTGGAATTGATGCAAACAGGAATCTTTTTTGATAGATTATTTTGGGGATTGGCATTATAATGGTTGCATAATAGATATAATTTTCGTTAATTAAATTTAATAAAGAGAATTTATCTTCATTTATTGGAAATTCGATTTGATTAAGTGGGGGTAATGGATTGATTAAGATTTTGTTTATTGTTTAAATGCTCTTTAAAAACATATGCTTCTTATAAGAGCATTTCAATATCTAATTCAGTCCAATCTTTAGTGGGAAGATTTTATAAAAAGATGACGGCTTCACCCATATTTTTATTTTGAATCTAAAATGAAAGCAAAGTATATACTTCAGGTGCACATTTAAGAATTAGATTGGAAACTGTATATATATGAAGATTGGCCATATTATCTCCTTCTGATAAATAAGTATCCATTAATCTGATGGCTAGATAGAGAGGGAATTCTCTAACAAGTAAACAGATTACCCATCTGAAGGCAAAATGATTAAAATCAATTTGTTAAGTATTGAAATAATCTAAAATTGATGGATCGATCTGCATATGCTTACATAACTTACTGTACTTATAATGCTTTTAATTTTTTGATAAGCTAATGATACACCAGGTTAATTTTATATGAAATAGTCTTGGATATTGTCTATGATTTTACAGAGACACCAATAGATATCAGCTTCAATATCAAGTAATATATCATCTGGAAGTTTATTAAAATCTGATGGTAAATCAAATTTATTGAAATCTACTCTAACATATTCATTTAAAAACACAGCAATTAATGGTGATGCAATATCATTTATTCCTTATACATAACTAATTTATTATATCATTATATACCCACTCATTGGATGTCTCTAACTCCATATAAAAAGTAATCTTTTAAAAAGGTTTTATATTTTAGGGTCTCTAAATAATTTAAAATCTGGTTAAGTTCTTAATACATCATTTGATATAATTTTTATTATTTTTTCTTCACCATCATCTCTTTCATTAATTTACTCATAATAGTTTTTAATATATTAAATATAATCTTATCTTTTCTTATAAATAACACTTGTTTAACTCATATGATTAGGAGGAATGTATTTTAATATAAGTTTCCATACTTTTGCTCTATATACTTCTATAATTCTATTTAATTACCTTATGGTGCTCCTCTCCAAGTCAATTACTTTAATTATTCAAGATCAATTATCTGTTATTCAAGAATTATTTCAAATTATTCAATACGATGTATCCCATTGTAATTATAGATTGGATTAGATTTCCTTTAGAATGGTTATGTATTATAAATTTGATTGATATTATGTTACACTGATTGATTTTCTTTATCTTTTGCTGGCTTTGAGAATAATTTCTTTAAAAAAGACATATAAAATATTATATTTCATAATTTAAATTATGACTTCTTAAGTTCCACTGTTGCTTGTGATCTCTTATATGGACTAAATGTAAAAATCTACTGAGATTTATTATTATAAGGTGAATTATTAGCAGATTTTGTGTTTATCGGAGGTAATTTAAACTATTGCTATTTGCTCTTATTCTATTTTAATCTTAAATCTTCTCTTTGTTACTAATTATAACAAATTCATACATCTTAACAACTTAGAAAAGATGAATTATTTTGCAATCTTGATTAGGTACTTCTATGAGCAGATAATGGTGGTTAAAGTTATTATTATTCTGTCTTCAATTTTTATTAAGAACTTGGATTTCTACAATTTATTATTAAAGGTTATAGACTATTTTAAAATTATGAATGAGCTCTTAATGTTTATGCTTATATTGCATCTCGTTTTTGACTTAATTTTTATATTAATTTAAGAATCATCAACATTTTTATCATCTTAAATTATTCAAATATTATATTACTTGATGGAATTCATTTTAACATTTAAATGTTTAAATAATATCTTTTGATGACATAGGCATTTGATTATTACTACCACTTATCCAAGGATGTATTAATGCCTATTCAGCAGTAAGTCGAGCTTCAGGTTCCCATGCAGCTGTTTTTTCAAAAAATGATATGGCCGCTCTATTCTATGATTATGTCTATTTTAAACTTGCTCATATTTTAAGGATAGCATGCCTATTAAGGACTTTTCATTTTCTTTATAAAACTTTCTCTTGTATCATCTACCCAGAATGGATGAGAATTTGTAAACATCATATATTGTATAATTCCAAGACTCCATATATCTACTGATTTGAAGTATTCTTTTCTCATTAATGCTTCTGGTGCCATATAAATTAATGTTCCACAATTTTCATGGGAAGTTGATTTAATTGTTTAAAAACTCAACCCGAAATCAATTATTTTAACATTCAATTCTTTATCAATCAAAATGTTATCTATTTAAAAAAAATGTTAATACCAGGTTTTAGATCTCTATGAATTATACCTTTTTTATGTATATATGCAAGAGCATATATTATTTATTATATGATTGATCTAATTTAAGATTCAGTCAATGATAAATCAATAGATTCTTAAAGTGATTTACCTTCAATATATTCAATTAGAAAATATAGTTTTCTCTTAGATTCAATTGTCTTATAGTATTAAACTATATTTGGATGTTCAAGTGTGCTTAAGATAGAGGCTTCTTAATTGAGCTTATCTACAATATTATTTCCAGTAGCCATTTATTTATCAACAACCTATAAAAATTTGAACTATACTTTCAAAGCATAGATCTAATCCTGATATTAGACCTTATATACTTTGCTAAAAGCACCTGCTCCTAATTTTTGAAAGATGATGAAATCTTCAAGGAGTTATTCTCCAAATTCTTCATTTTCATTATGAAGAAAACTTTGTTCAATCATTAATTAAAATATAAAATGGACGACGCATATTCAAATAGACCTACATCTGCAAAAGATAAGAAAACTACCATAGAATCGATGAGGAATGAGAATATGAATTACATAGAGTATAGATATATTAATATAAAAGTTCATCTGATGTAGTAGTTGAATATTACAAAAATTAGTAACTTATACAATTGATTTTAGAACTGCTTCTGGTTTGGATCGTTATTTTTTAGAAATAGAAGATTGGTTAGATGAAGAGAAATCATTACATTAGAATACTCCATTAGTATTAGAAGCAGATGATGGAATAGGAAAGAAAACATTACTTGTTAAATGGATGGAATATCATGCTAAAAATAAAAAAGGAGTATATATCATTAATATAATTATAGCGTTATCAAGATTATATTATTCCACATTTTGCTACTTAATCAGGAAAAAATAGTAATTACTTTTTTGCAATTTACAGAATTTTAATTAAATTAAGAGAAACTTTAAATATTAAATAGAAAGTAGAATTAGTAGAAGAAAAGCTTCGTAGATACTTTCATTATTGGTTAGAAATTTGTAGTAGAGAATTAGAATAATAATTTTTAAATGGAGCTAAAGTTATTTATGATAAAGTATATTATATATTAATAATAATAGGTAATATTAATATTTGAAGGAATTGATAATTTTAGAGATATGTTAGATGTTCATAGAGAAGCTAATGTATCTTTTTGGTTACCTAAATATTTTCCTAAAAATATTAAAGTTATTGTAACTGCTGAAAAAAATTCTAATTCTATGAGAATTCTTAAACCTTCATGTCATGTCATTCCAATTACTTGTGATCCCAAAGTTATTAAAATTATGGTTAATGGTCATTTTGGAAAACAATCTTTTCTTGTATATTTTTATTATTATTATTTCCTTAGTCTGATTAGAGAGTTTAAACAATTCAAGAATTATTCATTTAATTAAATTATAAAGTACGTAATTAACCACTTTTTGTAAGAAGTTTTATGACTGTATTTTTACCTTATCCAACAGATGGTTTAGTTGAACTTAAAGATATTGATGTTTCTGTTGTAGAGAATATTTTAAAAGAATTAAATTTAGATTCAATTTAAAATTTTAGATCTGTTGAAGAATTATTTACATTCTAATTAAAATTCTTTAGTGAAAGCTTCATATTTACTCCAAAAACTCCAGAATTAAAATAAGATCCTAAATTTATTTAACTTATTACTGTTCTTGCTATCACTTAAAAAGGATTAACATATAAAGAAATCTAATCAGTTTGTGAATTTGAGGAAAAATAATGGAAATTATTCTTACTTTTCTTTAAAATCTTTCTTATGAAACATCGTGAATTATGGATTATACATAATGAAATCTTTAAAAAATGTGTAATTAATTGTTATCATAATGATAAAACTTTATAATTACATGATAAAATAGCTGAAACTATTGCTAAATATACTAATAATTCAATAAGAAAATTAGAAGAAGAGACATTTCATTTATTTTCTGCTAAAAATTATTTCAAATTGAAAGAAGTTATAAGTATAATTGAAAACTTTTTATTATTATTTAATCCTAATAATAAATATGATCTTTGTAGATATTGGTAAAAATTAGAGGAAAATGGATTTGATCCAGTATTAGAATATAATAAAGCAGTAGAAGGTTTTTAAATACATTATCATCCAAGTGCAGAAGATCTTTTTAGAATTATTATATAAGTATCAAGATTTCTTAAAGAATTTGGAGATTTTGAAACTAAAAATACTCCTGTATTTAGACATCCACCTATTATTGGAGTATTATAAGATTTATATGATATTGGATTATTATAAGAAATTTTAAAACTAGATTTATATTTTAATAAAGATCCAGAATTTAAATAATTTGATCCTGCAAAACATTTGAAAAGAGTAGCAAAAGCTATTAAAACACCTGCACTTACTAAAATGGAATCTTAAAATGTAGAAATATAATAAAATAGATAAGAAGTTAGAAATTATTATTTATAATAAATGATAAAACCTAGTGAAAGAGAACCTGATGAATTAGAAATTATATAAACTTTAGATATTGAAGAATTTAAATATTAAATGTAAAAGATACTTTAAAAATTGTTAACAGATAAAAGAGAATAATTATCTGGTGAAGAAGAAATAACTGGAGATAGAGTTTCATCAGATTATTATTATAAAAGATGGATATGGATATAATTTCCATGGGCATGTTTAAGTATAAGTAAAAAATGTGATTATTCTAAAACTATTAAACATTGTTTCTCTTCTGCAACTGATTATATGAGTGTTGAAGAAGAACATGCTTATACTAATTGTAAAAATATATTATTATTATTATTATTTAGCTGCATTGAAGATTGCTATTGAAGCTAAATTAAAAAAAAAGTTAATGTATGAAACTGAACCAGAAGAATAATAATAATCAATTATTTTAATTCCTTAAGCTAGTATTTTAAATCAACCTTAACCAGTTAAACTTGATTATAATTTTGATAATACACAAGCTAGTAGATTTGATAGAAGCAAAAATATTTTACCAAGAATAGATAGTAGTATTCATGCTTCAACTATTAATAAGTCATAAGATAAATATGAAAGAACAATGTTTATTACATAAGATTTTACTGATTTAGATAATCTCAATTAAGAATCTAAATAAATTAAAATTACTATTGAAAACAGATCTAATGATGGATAAAATACAGTTAAATTATTGGATAAATTTAAAACATAAAAAGGAAGATTAAAATCATTTTAATCTTCCTCACTCTCTTTAAATGCATATTAATAAACTGAAATATTCCCTATTCTTAAAACTGACATCTAAAAACATTCTCAAAAATAATTACATCTCTTAGAATAATAAGCTAAATAAATGAGAAAAAAATTAGATACTTTAACTTATGAAAATTTGAAATATGCTAAATTACTTAAATAATAAAAAATTATTGATTTTAATAAAGGTTATATTAAAAAAGAATTATCTAATTTAGAAGAGTTAAAAGAAACTAAAACTGAACTTGAAAAACAATTGTAAGAAGCTGAATAATCTTATAAAACAAGTAGTTTTTAAAAAATTAGAGTTATTACTATTTTGAAAATATGTAAAGATAATAAATAATAAAATGAAGAATATATTAGAGTAATTTATTTATCAATATATTTTTAGCATTTACAATAATTGATTAATAATTTTAAGAAATTAATCAGATTTGAAGAAGTTGAAATATCAAAAAATAAATAATAAATCAAAACTTTATATAGAACTATAGATGACTTTTTATTAACCTATAATCAAAAGAAAAAGCATCAAGGAAATTTAATTAATTAAATTAGGAATTCATTACTTGAAAAAAAGAATTTAGATCATCTTTTCTAAGCAGGTATTCATTATTCTTTAATTAATTAGCTGATGTTTATATTTAGGATTCAGCTTTAGAATCTGTTTAAAACTTAAGAAGAAATTAAGCCAAACAGAATGATGCATAATAAAATAAAAAATTAAAACAATAGTAAGAAAAAAATACAAAAAATATACATGAAAAATTAGAGTAGTTTGAGAAGTAGTATGCTTAAATTAAAGGAATATTTGATATAAAAGAATAAAATTATAGTCATTCAAATAATTTTATCGATTTTATGGCAAATATTGAAAAAAAAAGTGAATTAGAAATATAGTTATCTGAATAATAATAAAATTTAGAAGCATCAAAATAGAAAAAAATCAAATTAGAAGAAGAGTTATTAACATTTTAAAATGCTTATTAGATGAACAAATCTTAGAGTTTATCAAATATTGAAGCTACTGATACATGTAATCTATTTTATTATTTTTAGAAAATGTTGAATAATAAGAAAATAACATTTAAGTCTAAGCTGATTATTTACGAAAAATAAGAGATTTTAAAGTTAAATTTCATTCTTCTTATGATTCCTTATATACTAAATTTGCTAGCAAAGATGATTAATAAGTATAATTTACTATTATTAAGCTACTAAATTCCATCAAATTAAGAAAATAAAAAATAATTGAAAGTGAAGGACAAGATGCTTATTCTAAATTATTGAATAACTCTTATGACATGGATAAAATATATAAGAAAATTGTTCCATATGAAAATGTGTTAAACTTAAGTTAGAGTTCTGAATCAGATCATGAAATGTGATGATGAAATTATTTTAATCAAAAATAATAATAAAATATTATAAAATGCAAAAATCAATTTCTTAAATTTTAAAGAAATTAGAAATATATTAGTAATGTATGCTTTTACAAGGTTGTTTAAAAATCTCATAACATTAAAAGCTTTAGGTTAAAATGATGAAGAAATTTAGGAATAATTTTAGACAGATTAATACAAAAACTACTTTTGAGATGGATTTTTTATTTCTCTTAAAAGAAGAATAAGCTAAATTATTTTTTGAGATAGAAAAGGAAAATAACTTAGGAAAGAAAACTATTTTAAAAATAAAAAGTTAATTATTGATAAGGAAATCAAATTTATTAGACAAGCTAATGAAATGATTAAATAAAAAGAAATTAGATGCAAATATAATTAAGAATAATATCTCGGAATATTATATGATAATAATTTATTAAAATTATTTACACTTACAATTTTACTTTTATGTAATAATCTAGTCCTAGAGAATAAAATGACGATTTGAATTAACCTGATTAAATTTCTTCAAAACCATCATTAGCAAGATCAAAGTATATTTTTAAAAAAAGAATGTAGCACAATGTAACCAATTCCAAAGATAACAAAAAAATTTACAATAGGAGGAAAGTAATATTCATATGTAGGACCTGATCATCCTTATATACAAGATTTATTCTAATTGGTAGAAGAAAGAGAAAGTAATCCTAATAATAATTTGTTGAATAAAATAATAAACATTAATAGTTAGATAGAAAATTGGTTTGCAGCTAAATGTAGATTTTTTAATGGAAGTTTTGAGATAACCCATTATCATGTCTTAATTTGGCTTTTCTATTTGATCATTTATGTAGTGTTTATTTTTCAAACATTTGTAAATATAAAAACTATAATAGGATTTATAAGATTAAGCAGAGGTACAAGTTAATGCAAATAAATAAATTATTGTATTTAATTTAACAGGATTAGGAGCTTTATTTACAATATATACGTTAATGTAATAATAAAATAATATATAGAATAATAATGATCAAATAGGTGTGGTTTATATTAATAATAACATTTATAGGAGTTTTATTACCATTATGGTTCCTATTAAATAACTATTTAAATGTATTAATATTATTTTATTTTAGTTATTGTAATTGAATTAAACAGCAAATTATGATGTATCAATAATCTTTATACTTTCATTCATAGTTTTGATAGTTCTTAATGGGTTTCTAGTTTCACAATTATTCATTTGGTTAAAAAGTTTTATGAAAGAGTTTTTTGCAGCAATGGTAATTAATTTCTGGTGTTTATTTTGTGTTTTCTTAGTTGGTTATTACATATTAGAATATATCATTGTTACTCCTTAAATTATTTTTGAAGATTTACTAACTTATATATTATCATAACTTTATATTCCATTACTTTTAATTTTAATATTTTCCTGGTTTATTATTAAAGCACGATTATTTGATTGGCCAGAAGATGTTATCTAAACTGCTATAGATAGACTTAAAGAAATGCTAAATAAATAATATATTAAATAAGAAACAACATCTTAATAAGCTGTAAGTTGGTTATAAAAAAATAAAGTTAGAATTATCTCTTATATGATTGGAATATTTTATTTCATAGTAGAAATTTGGTTATTTTTGAAATTAGCTTCAACACTTAACAATTAATTGTCTAATTATAGTGAAATTATGACATTAGCATTTGAAGTTACAATAGTTCCTATTTATTTATTTTTAGGTGTATTTATTTCTATTACAAATAGAGAATTATCTAGAACATTCTTATATGTGCCATTATTTTTAGGAGCTCCTATTATATTTTCATTTTTAAAATTATACTTTTATTTAGAATCTAATTCTATTACTAAAGATGTTATATAATCTATAGGAGATGCTGTTTATTATGGACCATTATTTTTATTTATTATATGGTTAACCATTAGTATGATAGGAATTGAAAAAAGAAAATTATAAATGTATTCATTAGGATTTCTCTGTTTCTTTTTAGCATTCCCTTTAGGAGTATTAATTCCACTCTATTATGAATCAACAGATGAAATCTTATTATATGTTAGTTATGTTTTAGTAGCTATTGGAGCAATTATATTAATTATTATATTTATATACTTTATTAAAGAATCTTTATTAGCTATTTGGAGAGTTAAATAAATTACTGAAGATGATTTCCCTAATTTTGGAGAATATGCTTATTATAATTTAACTCCATATGGTTTATGGATTAATGCTTCATTCTTTCTTTTATCAATATTTTTCTTAGGGGAATTCTTTTGGTTTTCTTAAGAATTTGAGGAAAAATATCAACCAACCAATGTTGAAATTGGAACTATTTTTAGTTTATTAATTATGCATCCAATTTTATTCTTTCTCATTAATTTAGCGTTATCAGGAAAATCATTGCAAATTAAAAAAGACTTTGAAATTACAAATATTGAAATGGAATAAAATGAATAAATTGAAAATCAAAAAAAATTAAATGCTCTAAAAATATAAAATTATACTGTTCTTATTGGAATTTTATGTCCTGTTGCAGTATTTATTCCTATTGGAATTATGTAGTCAAATGAAATATTTTAGACATGTTTTCTAGCATTAGCAATTGGTTTACCAATTATATTTCTAATTTATAAAGTATTGACATACATTAAAAATTAATCAGAATTATATGAAAACTTTTTTTCATCTTTTGTAAGTTCTTTATTGTGGTGTTGCATTATATTTCCTTTTGGAGTGATTGTACCTATGTTATCAATTGAATTTATTAATACTTCTGATAATTTTCAAACTTTTGCTTAAATTGCAGTTGCTAGTGGTTTATTTATTTGTATTATTGGAGTTACTGGTACATCTCTCTTTTTCTCTATTTTACTTAATAAAGAAGAATTTGAAAGAAAAAAAAGATGTATTGTTGAAGGATTGATAACATACTTTTATAAAGAACATGTTTACAGTGATATGGCTGTATGTTCGTTAATTTATATGAGATATTTAATTGTTGGTAATTAAATAGAAAGGAACTTTAAAAAAGAATAAAAAACAGGTCTTAAAAAAAATAATAAAGAGGATGTCAATCCAAAACTATTAATAAAAAAGAAATTAATTGAAGATATGATTTAAGAATATAAGCCTGTTGGTCCTATTGAATATTTAGGAGAGGATTTAGAATGTAATAAACAATTAGTTTCAAAACTTAATTATGATAAATTTGTAAAGTAGATAGAAGTGAAAAAAAAAGAATTATAAGAAAATAAACCAAATAAATGTTTAATGATGTTTTGGGAATGTATTTAATGTAAATGTGGTTTAGAAGAAATGGAATAATTAGACAAAGATAAAGAAAATGAAATTATTTAACTAAGAGATATATATAAAATGGATGAAGAATAAGGTTAGATTATGGAATAATTAATTCCAGAATTTTCTAATGTTTATAAATTGATGGATGATAATGAAAGAACAGGCTTATTATTAAATTTTGAATTAGAACCAACAGCTTAAATTTTAGCTTAAAGATAATAACATGTAGATATAGAGTAATTAGATTCTTAAAAAACTGAAAAACTTAGAAATTTATAAAGGAAAGATTTAAGTAGTAAAGCCTTAACTAAAATAACATCAACTGATTATTATTAATCATTATAATAGAATAATAATCTATTTCCATAATTTATGCATGAAGTTTTTATGGAATTTAGTAATTAAGAAGAGGGTCTTCCACCTTCAATTTGTTATAATGATTTTAAAGAATTTTGCAGATTAACTAATCTAAACTTTGGACTCTAAGAATATACAAATCATGCAAAATAAATATGGTTAAATTAAACATTTACTTTAAACGAAAGAGATTTTGCAAATTTACTTAAATCTGCTTTGCCAAACAACTCAGCTGATAAATATTAATAATTAAAGAAATTTACTTTAGAAAAAATATACCCTAGCTTAATTAAATCAATCAAATCATTATATAGTAATTTAAAAGAAGCTAATAGATTATTTTTAAATAATAAACTTGATCCATAATTATATCCTTTTTGTGAAGAGAACTTTGATTTATAAAAAAAAACAAAATAAGAATGGTAAGAAGAATAAAGTAGGTTATTAATTAAAATGAATGATCCAGATAATATTAATAAAAGCTAAATTAGTAGAGCAAATAGCATTAAATTTCCAAAAAAGTCAAGAAAACAATTAAATTTTGAATATGCTGAGAAAGTAACGGAAGTAGAAAGAAACTATGAGAATAAATTATCAGGTTGCAAAAAATGTTGTTACAGTTTCTTAAGATTTTTAAATCTTATCTTTTGTTAAATTTTAGGATCATGTTGGAAAACAATATTAGGAGGTTTTGAAGATTAAAAGAAAAAACCAATAAGAAAAGGTTGGGCATAATAAATAAAATAAGCAAGATTGGAAATGAGAGACTGGAAACAAGTAGCAAAAGGTGCTATTGAGGAACTTTTTAAATAGATTCATCAATATGAAGAATAACTAAAAGAAAAGTTGATAGTTAAATAATTCAGATCTACTGTAAGTAATATTATTGCAATTTCTACAAGGGTTTTTGATATATATGGTTTAGCAGCTTTGACATTCAATAGTAATGTATCTTGGTTTGGTACAGATTCATCTCCAACTGTTGAAGGACAAGATATAGTTGATGGATCTGCATTTTATGATTCTTATGCTTTTTATTTCTATGCTTCTTTATCTGCTTCTGTTTTATATGGAATTTTGGGAAGGATAGCTATTCATCATGTCAAATAAAATACCTTTGGATAAAATACAATTAATGGATTACCAGCAAGCTTTACACATTCATAATGGTATTTAACAAAAGCTATTTAAATTTTAAATGGATTATTTCTTAGAATTATGAAATCATATATTGATGCTTTTGTTTGTGATTATGATGTTGAAGGCTCAGTTATTTATGTTTTAGTAAGAGATAACTCTATAGAATGTTTGAGTGATTAACATTATATTTATATGGGACTTGCTTTCATAGGAGTTAGTATCTATTATCCATTAACTACCTATATGTAACCTATATTCTAGTTTAATGACCATTCATTAGATTTGAAATATAGATCTACTTATTTAGTTGTTTATGTTTAATGTAAATTATTAATACTTGGCTTAAGTTCACTATTTGCTAATTTTGACTCCAATTCTTTTAAATTTTAATTGATTTTTGCATCTTGCATTATGCTTTTCATTATTATCTTTTATTTAAGGATGAAACCATGCCTTATTGATTGGTTTAATATTATCGAACTATTCTTATTCATTATTGTTTTCTCTGTAAAAATTATTATTTTTATATTTATTTAGGTTTATGTTGGAGCTATTTTAATATTATTTGTTGATAATTACTTGTATGGTCTTATTTTCACTTCATCTGCTACTTCCTTAATTTTAATTACTCTAGCTGCTTATTTTTTAAAGCAATTCTTAGATTTTAGAAAAAGAGAAAAAATTGGAGTCGATCCAGATTTAAAATAACGATAAATAAAAAAAAAGGGATTAAATTAATTTATAGAGACCAAACCAGAAGAAAAATTAAATATTACTAATTTTAAAGGTAAATAAAAGGCTAGGGAAAAAAAATTAATGGAATAAAATTAAAAAATTTAAGAAGAAAAAGAAAAAGAAATCAAAAAAATACAAATTATCAAAAAGTATGAAAAATAAAAATCATAATCTGATTTTATTTTAGATGTTGAATATTTGCCAATTAAATAAATTGAAGGAAACATAAATGAAGATCGATTAGATATTAAAAATGTTAAACTATACGAATAAAGGAAAACCTGAATTATTAATAAAGCTTTCATTTCATAAAATTTACTGTTTTAAAAATATAAATATTTTAATAATTTCTCCAAGTATCTATCGCGATAATTGAAAATAAATATATTCCAAAGCCATAATAATTTTAAAATAGAAAGGTTATATTAATCTAAATTTATTTTTGTTTTTCAAATTTAAAATAAGCCATTACAAACAAAGATGAATTATATAATTAATACTCAATATTATTTAATAACTTTCTTTATTATCCAGTCAAATAATTATTTAATAATAATATTATTAAATTTGTAAAAATTATTTTAATTCAACATAAAATTATGATAAGTAGTAAAAGTAAGATTATTTTTGTAATACAATCATTAAAACAAATTTTAATAAAAAATACAATTTTTTATAATTTTATTTATATTATTATATAAATGAAAAACAAATATTGATAGAAATATTATTATTGGCAAAAACAACTAACATTCTTGAAAAGTTTTTTTTTATTGTGACAACTTCATTTTTAGTAAAATTAATGCCACAATTCTAAACCTATAAACAAAATTATAATGAATCTCCTAATTTAAGTATCAACTTTGATTTTTTTTTTATATACTGTTTATTCATTAATTATTTCTAAAGTTTCTTAACTGATATATATAAAAGTTCTCTTAAAATAGACTTTGACAACTATAATTTAAATTTTATTATTTTTTCAATTCAGCAAGTAATTTATGATTTTATCAAAAAAAGAACTTTTTAAAAAAAGATTGTAATGAAAATACGAAAATAAATTCAAAGAATCAGAATTAAAGGGAGTTGACTTTAAAAACAAAATTGTTATGAGAGTTAAAATACAATTGGATTAAAAAAAAGATGATATTAATATAATTCATTTTTGGATGTTTTTTATTGATTTAATTTATTTTGTCTAATATTTGAGAATTAAATTAGGGATTAGATTAATATTTTCTTCGCTATTATCATCAGTAACGATATCATCAAATATATCATATTTTGATAATCTTAATATTTCTGAGTCTCCAAATTAACTCTAAGTTGGAATACTATATGATAGCTATTATTTTAATTAATTCAAAGAAAATAAACCATTAGATGCTGTAATCATTTACATAAATAAATCTTTGATATAAACATAGTTTGGCATGATATCATATTTTAATGAGTCAATGTAAGACATTAATCGAGAAAAATTTAAAGGAGATTTGTATTCATAAATAATTGTTTTAACAAAAGAAAATTTGGATTTTTTAATAAACTCTGTGTCCTCATCTTTTAATCCCCACAACTAAATTTCAGACCAAGGCAATCTCACTTAATTATAAAATAAATTAATTACAATCTTTTAAGTAATATAATACATATATTAAACTTTCTAAATCATCTTTGTATCCAAGTGGTGAACCATCATGTGAAGATCTGCTTGCAAAATTTAAAGAACCGATAAACACATCTTATAATGANTATATTAATTAAAAATTCTACTTTTATAAAATACACTATTTGTTTTTAAAATAGTTATTATTCTAATAAAATTATAAAACAACATCAATATTTAAATCAATCAATACAGAATTAGAGGATGAAAAGAGAATTTGGCGCCAAATATTTTGAATATAAAAAGAGTGTTGTAGAATTGGAAAGAGGAAAATAATATATAAAATCTGCCCAAAATCTTTTATCATAAGTTGATCCTAAACTATTTTATATCAATCAATCTTTAATAATTTAACTATTATTATATATAAAAAATCTAAACAGAAAACATTTTTATTTAGGATAAAAACTTGGATAATTTTATCGCAAATTATAATGTGTCTTAATTATTCAAATTTTTTAGATTGTTTAGATTTTAATGATTAATTTAAATCCAATTATAAAAATTATATATTATTATATAAATGAAAAACAAATATTGATAGAAATATTATTATTGGCAAAAACAACTAACATTCTTGAAAAGTTTTTTTTTATTGTGACAACTTCATTTTTAGTAAAATTAATGCCACAATTCTAAACCTATAAACAAAATTATAATGAATCTCCTAATTTAAGTATCAACTTTGATTTTTTTTTTATATACTGTTTATTCATTAATTATTTCTAAAGTTTCTTAACTGATATATATAAAAGTTCTCTTAAAATAGACTTTGACAACTATAATTTAAATTTTATTATTTTTTCAATTCAGCAAGTAATTTATGATTTTATCAAAAAAAGAACTTTTTAAAAAAAGATTGTAATGAAAATACGAAAATAAATTCAAAGAATCAGAATTAAAGGGAGTTGACTTTAAAAACAAAATTGTTATGAGAGTTAAAATACAATTGGATTAAAAAAAAGATGATATTAATATAATTCATTTTTGGATGTTTTTTATTGATTTAATTTATTTTGTCTAATATTTGAGAATTAAATTAGGGATTAGATTAATATTTTCTTCGCTATTATCATCAGTAACGATATCATCAAATATATCATATTTTGATAATCTTAATATTTCTGAGTCTCCAAATTAACTCTAAGTTGGAATACTATATGATAGCTATTATTTTAATTAATTCAAAGAAAATAAACCATTAGATGCTGTAATCATTTACATAAATAAATCTTTGATATAAACATAGTTTGGCATGATATCATATTTTAATGAGTCAATGTAAGACATTAATCGAGAAAAATTTAAAGGAGATTTGTATTCATAAATAATTGTTTTAACAAAAGAAAATTTGGATTTTTTAATAAACTCTGTGTCCTCATCTTTTAATCCCCACAACTAAATTTCAGACCAAGGCAATCTCACTTAATTATAAAATAAATTAATTACAATCTTTTAAGTAATATAATACATATATTAAACTTTCTAAATCATCTTTGTATCCAAGTGGTGAACCATCATGTGAAGATCTGCTTGCAAAATTTAAAGAACCGATAAACACATCTTATAATGATTCTGAATTTCCATTAAATTACTATGATAAACCAAAATCAATTAATTAAATCAATCCAGGTTATAAAATGTCTGATTCTTTTTATATTTACTTAGACAGCATAATATTTTCAGGTTTAATATCAAGATGCAAGATATTTTTTTTATGAACTTTTTCTAATATTTCAATGACTTTTAATCCGATTATTAATAAATAAGAGAAAGATAATGGTTTAGATTTAACTAAATCAAGTAAATTACAATGAAATAATGGTAGAATAATAAAACATCTTGTTTGTTTATTATAAAATATACTTTTACTATGCAGTTAATCCAAATTGTTTTATTTCTGGAATGCCTTAAATACCATTTAATTTCTCTAGGATTAAGTTTTCATTCTATAATTAACCTATTTAGGCAGATTTTTCTATTTTTATGGCATATATTTCTGAATCATTTGTTTATTCAGCTTTATAAACTTGATGTTCAGATCCACATCCTATTTTTTAAAGAATCTTATATTATGGGATTTTAAGCTACATAAAATACTTAGTTAATTTATAGAAAGTTTGAAGAACAAATGATTGGTTAGTAAAAAATCAAATTTTAACGGGGTATATTTCATTTTATTTATACTAATAATTAATTAATTTATATAAGTGTTTTCATTATCCAGTTCGAATTATTTACACTAATACAAAATATCAAACATTAGAATTAAAAATTCTTGAATATAAGAGAAAGAGAGTAAAAGTAGAAATGATTGATAGATAATGTTGTTATGTTTATTTACAATATTTTGGTTGATTTTTGAGAAGGAGAATTTTAATTCTAAAATTTAATTTTATTGTTCTTACTCCTCCTCATTTAACAATCATCAAATACTTTAAAGATAGAAAAATAGTCAAAAATAATATTATATGTGTTTAATTTATTTACTACAACTTATTGAATTAAATTAGGTTAATTATACTTCAAGATTAATTTAATTTGACTTTCATTCCTTTATTTTTTATTAAATAAAATTAGTTTTTTATGAGAACAAATATTTAAAATGTTTTCTTTTTCCCTTTGCAAAAATTGTATTCTTAACATTTTATTTCCTTTCTATTATAGTTACAAAAACAATTTTTTTTGATAAATAACATTATAAAACTAATTATATAAAATTTAATTCAAAATAGAATAATTCTAAGCATTCATAAATATTAAATAGAATATGAAAATCAATATATTATCAATTGAGAAGTGATAATTTTGAAAGCCAATTTTTGTTTCATTAGATAATTATATAAACTAAGTACTTTTATTATTTAATTTATATAGTTATCGATATTTTAATTTGCATAAAGAAACACTCATTTAACATTTTAAAACTTAATATAAAGCTTATTGTAAATTAAAATTAAATCTCTAATAATAAGTCATAATAATAAAAAAATGAATTTTAAATATAAGTATATAAGGAGTGCTTAAATTTAATTGAAAAACACTTGTTTTCTAAATGATGATTGAAATGCATCAAGAATTTAATGTTATAAATGAATATTGAATTTTTATATCTGATTTTAAGGATCAAAAAATAGTATCAAAAAAGGAAGGAAATACTCAGCTAGAAAAATTTATTTTCATGGAATAACTAAAGTTGTTAAAATAAAATAATGATATATATAGATGGCAAATTACAGAAATATGATTTAATTTAGAATTATTAGCTAAGTCTTTAGGGATGATAAATTTAAATGTAATGTTTTTGATCGAGAATGATTTTGTGATAATGAAACCTGAAAATTGTAGAATGCATNAACGGGGTATATTTCATTTTATTTATACTAATAATTAATTAATTTATATAAGTGTTTTCATTATCCAGTTCGAATTATTTACACTAATACAAAATATCAAACATTAGAATTAAAAATTCTTGAATATAAGAGAAAGAGAGTAAAAGTAGAAATGATTGATAGATAATGTTGTTATGTTTATTTACAATATTTTGGTTGATTTTTGAGAAGGAGAATTTTAATTCTAAAATTTAATTTTATTGTTCTTACTCCTCCTCATTTAACAATCATCAAATACTTTAAAGATAGAAAAATAGTCAAAAATAATATTATATGTGTTTAATTTATTTACTACAACTTATTGAATTAAATTAGGTTAATTATACTTCAAGATTAATTTAATTTGACTTTCATTCCTTTATTTTTTATTAAATAAAATTAGTTTTTTATGAGAACAAATATTTAAAATGTTTTCTTTTTCCCTTTGCAAAAATTGTATTCTTAACATTTTATTTCCTTTCTATTATAGTTACAAAAACAATTTTTTTTGATAAATAACATTATAAAACTAATTATATAAAATTTAATTCAAAATAGAATAATTCTAAGCATTCATAAATATTAAATAGAATATGAAAATCAATATATTATCAATTGAGAAGTGATAATTTTGAAAGCCAATTTTTGTTTCATTAGATAATTATATAAACTAAGTACTTTTATTATTTAATTTATATAGTTATCGATATTTTAATTTGCATAAAGAAACACTCATTTAACATTTTAAAACTTAATATAAAGCTTATTGTAAATTAAAATTAAATCTCTAATAATAAGTCATAATAATAAAAAAATGAATTTTAAATATAAGTATATAAGGAGTGCTTAAATTTAATTGAAAAACACTTGTTTTCTAAATGATGATTGAAATGCATCAAGAATTTAATGTTATAAATGAATATTGAATTTTTATATCTGATTTTAAGGATCAAAAAATAGTATCAAAAAAGGAAGGAAATACTCAGCTAGAAAAATTTATTTTCATGGAATAACTAAAGTTGTTAAAATAAAATAATGATATATATAGATGGCAAATTACAGAAATATGATTTAATTTAGAATTATTAGCTAAGTCTTTAGGGATGATAAATTTAAATGTAATGTTTTTGATCGAGAATGATTTTGTGATAATGAAACCTGAAAATTGTAGAATGCATATAGATCAATTATATTGAAAATATAATTGATCAAATTAATCTATTATGTCTTTTATGATTTTTATATAAATTTAATACCGTAAAAATCATATCTTAATCTAAATCATCAATTATAAATCATTAAAATTGTTGAACAATCTAATAGGGATAAAAAATTTGATTAAATTTGATCTAAATTAATAAATCTATTTTGTAATGATCCAAAATTATATGAACTTCTGTTTTAAGTTAAAAAATACGTATATATTATATTATCTTTAAAATGTTTGCTTCCTAAAATCATCTAAATATTACAGTGGTAAATTTATAAATCTTTTGCCAACAGCAATAGTTTTTTTAAAGTTAAAAATTGATATTAAAAAGTACAATTTTTAATTGATTTTGAATGCATATTATAAATGGTAATGAATTGATAAAAAGTAGTTTTCTAAGTTTTGATGAAATAAGTAATTCACATTTAAATAATTCTATAATTATCTTTAAAAAATATGATTATTAATTATTAATACTATTCTCCAAAAACAAATGAAATTTTCTAAATATAATTATATTTATCCAAACATATAAGATCTTGAGAAATGAAAAAGTATAAATTATTAATCAATGAAAATTTGTAATTAACATATGTTAATATTTTGGATATTTGTATAATTAGTTTGTGTTCTAAGCTAATGTGAAAAAATAAGTGATCAATAAGAATGTAATTCAAATGAATTATGTGAATGGAATTATTGGAAACCATCATTATGTTAAAATATTTGTAGTTCATTGAAGAATGAAAGTACATGTAATTAAGCAGCAAATTGTTAATGGTAAGTAAGCTCATCGTCATGTTTTATAAAAAAATGTACAGAAGAAAAGAATGAAGATAGATGTGCTTTAATTGTAATTAATTTCTTTTATTTAGGTTGCTTGTTTTTGGTCAAAAGACATTTGTTGGGATTCATCTTGTATTTAATTATAAGCAGAAGAAGCCGGAAAGTGTCCAATTGCTTATTGTATTTGGGATGAAAAAAGGAAACTATGTTATGATAAGAAATGTTCAGATTATAATGATTAATATGATTGCTCTCAGATGTCATTTTGTACTTGGCATAAATATAAGTGTATAGATAATGGTAATAAAAAACTTGATTTTTGAATTGATTTATTAAAACTTATATTATTATCCATCTAAGATTATCTTATATAAAATTATCTCAGTAACATCTTGTATAGAATAATATTATCAAAGAGTTTATTTTTGAATTAATTATCGAATTGATAATTCATTAATTCATTGCATAAATTATTATAATAACATTTAAAAAGTTTAATATCATCATCAAATCACAATATGGGTATTAAATTCTATATTTTTATATCCACTTTTATGTTTTTATATGAAAAGTTAATTATTGTTATTTTAAATCTTTTTATTATCCGAATCTAATGGATTATTTGAATCGGAACCATAAAATAATTATTAAGATATTGATATGACTATAAAATTAATTAGTATTAATTACTTTTAAACCCAAAACACTATTTTAAAAAATACATCAAATTATTAATAAGAATTAGAATCTAATTTAGATCTAGAAGGATAGCTACGTTGAAAATTAATTTGAAAACAAAACATTTTCAGGAATATAGAGATTCATTTATACAAGATGATATAATTTTGTCTTGATTTTTTAATGATCTTTTTCATTCTAATTTACTCACATATCCTAATAAATTCTTAATAATATGAGTATACTATTCTATTAAGTATTTATTTAATTTATTATAATATTAATTCAAAAGAAAATATTATTATAATTAACTAATTTTGTTATGAATTGCACTACAGAGAATCATAAGAACTCTTTGATTATTGGTATATGTCTCAGCTATAACTGTTATAATTCTTTTTTAAGCTGTAGTTATTGCTTTTAGTAATTACATGCTAATCACAAAAACGATTGTAAAAGATTTAGGAATCTGACTTCTATTATTAGTTAAGAATAAAGATAAAAAAATAAAGAAATATTAAAGAATAATCATTAGTAAGAATTTTGGTAAATAGGCAATCCAAACATATATTAATTTTTAAAATATATGATCTCATTATTAACAAAAAATATTAAGAATTGAACTAAAAACATCTTAGTTGCTTAAGAGAACTTTTCATTTCAGGATAGTAATGTTAAATTAAATTTGTTTTATCTTAATAGAAAAAGAATGGGATTTCTTTAAATTTACATTTAAATAGACAATAGAATAATAAATAAAGTCTAGAAAATTTTGTTAATGCACCTTAAAGTAAAATATATTGATAACTATTTAGAAAAATTGAAGGTTGAAACAAATATTAAGAGTATGAAAATAACTGATTAACATTTATTAGTTAAGGAAGGTAATATAATTTAATTTATTTATTTAGCTGACAAGTTATATTAATAATAAAATTACAAAAAAGCACTTAAGCTTTATAACAAAGCTCTTAAGATAAATAACGAATGCGCAAATATTTTTTATATGAAAGGTAAAACTCTAATTAGATTAAATCATCATAAAAGGGCTTTAACTTTTATAAATAAAGCTATTAAATTAAAATCTGATTGCAGTTAATATTTATAAACAAAAAGTAATCAATTATTTTATTTAGGTTTTGCATTATTTATGCTTAAGAACTTGAAGAAAAGCTTAAAATTTTGTGAAAAAGCTATCGAATTAAAACCTGAAAACGGATATTTATACTATAGCAAAGGTATAAATTTTCTTAATTTAGCTAAAATATTAATTAAAATGAATTCACAACAATAAGCAGTTGAAAGTTTGTAATTAGCTACTTAAAAAGATCCAAATTAATTTTAAAACTGGCTTGAATAAGGTTTGTTTTGATAATAAAAGTAGGAAAAATCTTCATTGAACTCAAAAGATATGAACAGGCTCTTGTATGTTTAAATAAAGCTATTGAAATAAAACCAGATAACGAATTTTTATATTTTCTGAAATGTAAGAAATAATTATATTTAGCCCACCCTTTATTTAAATTGTAAAAATATTACGAATCCTTAAAGTGTATAGACTTATCTCTCAAATTGAAACCAAATTTTATAAAATTTGAAAAAGCAAAAGGTAATAATTTTATAAAATAGATTAGCATTTATTTTAACAAAATTGAATAGAGTATCAGAGGCTAGATATTTCGACTAATGTATAATTAAAATAATCAAAAATTATAGATGAGTTTATATTAAATTTTATTTTATTTCTTAACATAATCACATGAATAAAAATAGAGTATATGCATATTTATTTATTTTTATGAAGCCTTTGTTATAAAAAATGATATTTATAAATTATAATTAACTTCCTTAAATTTTATTAGAAATTGATGTTATAAAATAAATATAATTTATTACAATCAAATAAATAGATTAATTTAAATTATTAATATTTCATTAGTTGAAAAAGGATAAATTTAATAAGAATAAAAAAGAATATTATTCAATTAATTTAAACATATACAATAATAATAAATAAAAAAGAGTTTCATTAAATAAATCCATCAAATTGGAATAGCTTACCTAAAACTACTTTTAATTCTTCTTGATTAACAGGCTTTGGTAGAAATGTATTAATACCCAATTTAGAACCTTTAATATAATTTTCTTATGTATCATATGCTGAACAAATAACAATTGTAGATTATTTTTGTGTCAATTTCAGAATCTAAATATTATATATATAATTATTTACTTGTTTACTTGCTTAGAATCCATCCATTCCAGGCATTTCAATATCCATGAAAATTAATCTATATGTTTAACAATGTTATAACATTTTAAGTTTAACCTTTTCAATTGCTTAAAATCCATCAAATACTGAATCTGCTTCTATTTGATAATGTTTAAGCATCATTTTAAAAGCTATTTAATTAAATGGTATATCATCAACAACTAATATATGAGTACAATTTTAGCAAATTTATTATTTTTTTGAAATTTTAGATGATTCTAATTCTTACAAATTTTTACACGAAGATACAAATCTATGGGTAAAGTATTCAGGACTTACAGGTAATAAAATTTATTATTGTATTTCAAAATCGTTTAATCTTGAAGTACCTTTATAAGTATCTGAATTTTAATCTAAATTCTCTACATCATTTTCAATTTTAGAAAATGACATTTTCATTTAATTTGCTAATTTATCATCAAAATTTATCTTATTAAATGTATAAAATAGTTCCGATTAATTAAATTTTCCAGTTTATTGTGTAAATAATTTTGATGATTATTAATATACATTTTAATTAAGCTGAAGATTTTCAACTTTAAAAGAGACTATAGTTCCTTAATTTTTTATAGATTTTATAATTAATTTATTATCTTAAGCTTCAGTTAATCCTTAAACAAGTTTTGTAACAATACTCAATCCTAAGCCTTTTTTCTTTATTTCAGAATTCTATTTCAAAATCGCACCAAATTCCATTGTATCATATAAACTACTTTTTATTAAATGTAACTATTCTTCTTCAATACCTATACCGTTATCTTTAACTTCTATATTTATTGAAAAATATTCCTTTTCAGTTATGTTTAATTGAATGTAACCACCTTCTTGAGTAAATTTAATTGAATTATTTAATAAATTTACTAATATTTATAATATTCTCTACTTATCATTGCAAATGATTAAATCTATTATGTTTTTGCTAATTAAAATCTTAAATTTAATTGATTTTAATTTCATTTAGTTTTTATATAATTCTTCTATTTCTTAAATAATTTAATTTAATGAGAATTATGTAATATGATAAGAAAATGAATATGACTAAATGGCAGCATAATCTAAAATATCATTAACTTAATGAATTAATAATTTAATAGAATTCTAGGCAATTCCAAGACATATTTTAAATTCTTGTTCATTTTAAATTTACCTCATTATATTGAGCATATGTTAACAACTATTTAAAGGTGTTCTTAATTCATGAGAAAAAGATTTGATAAGACTATGATGAATAATTTATTCATCTTTAATTTATTAACATTTATGTTTATGTGTTATATTTTTAATTATTATAAGAAGAACAGGATTTTCATAATCAGAGGTAGGTTAAAATATAACTTTACTACTACTTTGAATTTATGATTAAGATTAAAAGTATTCCTACTATTAAACTGTCATTGATGTTGGTATAATTATTAATTTAAGTTTTTTTTAAGTATTATTCTTATTTAAACCAGATTTGATAAACCATTCATATATAAAAACCTATGATAAAAAACTAATATAATTATCACCAAAAATAGAATCTTGTTTAGTTCCAATAATACCTGAATATTTATGAGGTTATATAATTATGTCTAATACATCTACTGTTATATTTCTATTTTTTAAATGATTAATTATCTCTTTTAATAAATGATAATGCAATTATTTTTATTATTATTTAGCTTAAAAAGTATTTTAATCATCAACTTAAAAATCTCTAATTTTTGCATTATTTACACAAGCTTTTACTTTTTCTAATATTTTTTCTGTTCCTTAACATTCTAATAATTTTTCACATTTGTTATTCATAAAACTAACTTATTATAAAGAGTTTAAAATTAAAATTCCTTAAGGAAAAATATTAAGTAAATTTTAATAAAATGAACACATAGATTAGTCTGATTTTTCGAAGCTTTTATTTAATTTCTAAAAATTAGTTAAATTTGAATATTGTATCAATTTCATTTCACTAGGAAGATCTCTTAAAAATACACTCATATTATGTTAAGGAGATTAATTAATTGATACTTTACTTTATGATTTTAATGAAGGAAATATTTATTAATTTTAAAGTATAGGTGTAGATTCTCTCTCCTCTTTAATTGTTAATTGATATTTTGTTGTTTTTTATTAACAATTCTTGTTAAATGAAATTTATAGCAAAATAGTGTATTTAATGAATAATAAGCTTAATATTATCAAACTTTCTAACTAATAGATACTAAAATCAATAATTAGTGTACATGTTATTCTTATGATAAGATAAAATGGAATCCCTAATTTACAGATTAAACCATATTTTGATATAGCAATTTTTATGTAATCCATATATGTAAATATAATTAACAAACAATTTGAAATAACTTCTAAATTATGATTTGTCTCCATTTATAAGAAAGATTCAAAATAAATTACAAAATATAACAATGACACTATATGTATGAAAAAATTAAACCCATATTCCTTTTCTATTAATATTTGTTATAAACATCTTAACAAAAGACAAACTAATTGTAAAATAAACACTAAATAATTAGTTGGTAACTTAATCCATAAGGTATTTGAAATCCACCATATGTTTTAGATTATATTTGCAATAAATATAGAGTTCAGCCATAACTTTTCTAAGAATTTTCTTACTTTTATTTCAAGGTTCATATAAAGATCTGCTTAATTTATTTAAATAATGAACAAAATAACTCAATTACTCAACTCTTTTAATTCTTTATAAGATCAAAATTATTTTATTATTTTTAGCATATTTTATCTCACCTCTCTTTCTAAGTGTAACAGATTTTCTTCACTTTTGTTGATCAAAGAGATCTAAAACCATTAACTCAAAATTATTGATTTAGTTCTTATATCTAAAAATGAGACAAAAAATACAAAATTATTGTAGATAAATTGTTAAAATCTTAAGTTATCATTATAAAAAACACTCTTATTACATTTTTTAGTTTGTATTTGATTTAACAAATGAGACTAAAATTTTTAAATAAGGGTAAATAAAATATTATTTAATTTAAATTAATTTTAGTTGTTTGAGCAAATGAATAAATTCTATAGTGAAGACACCATTTATTCTATAAAATTTGTTTAGAATAATTATATTCTTGAATTTCATAATCTTATCAAAAGAATAAAAAGAAATTTACTTTAACATCTAATTTTAATTTTAGAAAAACTCATTAAAATAAATACAAAAATTTTTGAAGGATTATGTTTCATACAATTAATATTATTTTCAATTTTTATATTTGATTACTAATTTATTTTTCAGTAATTATTAGTAATTATTGTAATCTATTTAAGATTTTAAATATAAATTTGATTCTTATTATTGATTTAATTCGATGATCAAGTTTTAAATTCTTGATCTTCTATATTTTCTTCTTGAATATTTCTTCAATTTATTAATTTCATTTAGAAATTCTTGATCAAATATCTAGTAGTTTAGGAATTTCAATCACAATATTTCTATATAAATATATTATGATTTTAAAAAGAGAATCTAGTGAAATTGCTAAATAGTAATTCATATTTTTTAAAATAAATATTAAATTCTAATGGATTTAAGAAGTATTGATTAATAAGTAAATGTATAATTTTAGGTTTGTAAGTATGAGAATTAATTTAATGCTATTTAATGAGTAAATAGTTTTTCTATTTTAGTAATTTAATAATAAGTTTTAAAATTTGGAGTTAAAATTGAATATAAAAACAAAATTTATAGCTATTTTAAATTTTTATAATAAATACCTCATCAGTATGAAATATAAAAAAAAATAGAATATTTGATTATCTAAAATAATTTTAAATAAAATAGGTTTGATTAGTTTTTAAACAAGGGAGTAAAAATTAGATAATACAACCCAATTATTTGAATTATATTTAAAAAGAATGAAAACATTATTTTAATATAAGAGAATGATTATTTGAAGGAAATATAGAATATTTTAATAATTTTTAAAGGAACCATTGAAATTATTTATTTTGATAATATATTAATTATAAATAGTTATTTTAAGACCCCCATGTTGAATTATTTATTTTTTATTAGCCAGATATTTTTTTCTCTATCTTTCTAAATTAATATATAAGAAGATATTTTAGAATGGCTGATCCTTAATAATATAAAGTACTTTGTAGTCTAGGATATGGATCTGAACATATAGTATATAAAGCAGAGCTTAATTTAAATTCATAGTTATATGCAATAAAACTGGAAAAATGTCCTGGTGTAGGATAGTTAAAAAATGAGATAGAAATGCTATAAAAATTAAGTGGAGTTGAAGGAATTCCATAAATCAAATAATTTGGATAAACTTTAGAGAATAGGTAATATTTAAATTAATTGATTAGGTACTTTTTAATAGTACCATTATATCATAGTAACTTATTAGACTTAGCAAAATCTCGAAAGCTATCTTTAACTTAAATTTTAAGTATAGGGTTGAGAATAATTGAAATAATTGAAAAAGTCCATAAAAAAAAAATATTACATCTTGATATAAAACCAGAGAATATAATGTTATCTTAATAATGTTTAAATGATTAAGATATCTTATAACCTGGATTTATTTAATTAATTGACTTTGGATTATCTTAATAATTTAATAAGGATTCAGAATCTTTAAAAGATGTGTTTATTGGTTCATTAAATTTTGCTAGTAGATCTTCTCATAATGGAACACCACTTGGATATAAAGATGATTTAGAAAGTTTATTATATGTATTATTTTACATTCGAGATTGTAATTAATTAATTATATAAATTTAGTAAGATTACCATGGTCTGAGAAAAGGTTTTGGGGGTTTAAAGAAGTTGATTTTAAATTAGTAGGATAAACAAAGTCTTCTTTCTTCAAATCTAATGACTTTTAATCATAATCATTACTAAACTTTGAACCTTTTATGTCTTATATCAATTAATTAACATATGATATAATGCCAGATTATGATTATATCAAATCACTATTTACTTAGATGATCTCAAAATCATATACTATGTAATCTATATTTAAACATGATAAATAATAAACATTTTCTAATTCATATTATGTAGACTCAATAATTATTAGTTCAGACACCATCTAAATGTAAATTGATAATATACCAAAATCTAATAATCATTAGGATATTTAAGATGATATTTTTCATGATAGCACCTCTACTTTAATCTCCAAAATTATTGGAAAATATAATACACATTAAATTAAGTCAATTAAAGATATTTAATATTGATGGCTTCTTTTTATATTATTCTTATATTTAACTACCATTTTTATATTATATTAATTCATTTTTTTATTTTGATCTTATCTTCTCTCATTTTTATTATTTTTATGATCTTCCTAATATTATTTTATTTGCTTCATTATATTATATAAATTGATCCTACTTTTATATTTATTATTTTCTAGAGAATCTTCGTCTATATTAAACTGGTTATTATCATTTTCTTAATATTTGTTTAGTATTTCAAGAAAATATTTTTAGCTTTATAAATTAAATATAAATAATAATAAAGTAAATAATTAACGAGAAAATTTTGAATTGAAAATTTAATATATTTAATATATTTAACTTTCCTTATTTTTGGTCTGAATATTTTTAAATGCATAGTAAATACTTACTTTTTTAAGAAAATCAATCTCAAATTATTTTTATAAATTTAGAATGGTTTACATTATTATAATATATATTGTATTAAAATCATTAATTCGGTAATATATCTAAAAGCTTTTATATAAGAATATTTAAAATTGCTTGAATATCTATTTAATATTATATATCATCACATTAATATATATTATTAACTTTACAAATTAGAAATAAACAATAATCAAGTAGATGATTATTTCATTATATTAATAAACTACTCCAAAAAGCTTCAAATTAAACAAAAGTTTAAAGGAGAATGAAAAAAATTGATGCAATTTATTTCAAATGTTAGTAAAATTCAAAAATACTCAGTAAAATGAATCAAATTTATGTAAAAAGATTTTTTATCAAAAATTCGTTTTACAGTCCTTCATACTTAGAATAGATAGGATGAAAAAAATATTTATATAAGAAATAAAGATTTTACAGATTTTATTAGGAATATTAAATGAATATGAAAATAAAATAATTGAATTGTTTTGTACAACAGGGGTTTAATCTAAAATTTATATTTTATGGTTAAACATTGAAGTGGTAAAATGAAATAAGATTTGTTTTTATATAATAGGCTTTATTGACTAAATAATAAACAATATTTATAGAAAATCAAGTGTTTTTTCTGTAATAAAAACTTGAAAGTTTTGATAAATTTGGAGAAATAAATCGATTAGATTTTTAATTAATGCTTCAATTTTAATTCGTATTATTTATTATCATTTTCTAAATAATTGATTTTTCATAATTAAAAGTATTCAAAGTTATGAAGAATATATAAAATAAATTAATTATTTAAGTAAGTTAATTTTTTTTTAATATAATTTATTTCATGATTACTTAACCAAAAGAAATAAGAAATATAAAATAAGATTTAATATTATGATATTTTCTTTCGTTTAATCTTATTTTTCTATTAGTATATATAATAAAAAATATTTATAAAATTAATAACTACATATAAAATTTCTTAATGTTGATGATTTAATTATTATGTGAATTATAAAAAACCTCGAATTTTTGAAGAGTGGAGGAGTATGTGTTGATGATACATAGAAAGTGTCTTATATGCTACAATAATGTTGAAAAGAGGGAAGAATTATTAAAGTAGAAACTTGAGATAAATTTAGATATAAAATTATTTGATAAGAATAAAGGTTTTTTCTAATATGATAATTAAATGATTTTAGTGCTATAAATTTGCAAGGAGCTTAATTAAGAGATGAAAATGAATTGCTTTATTTAATATAGATGAAAATTAAATCTCAATAGAGAGAAATAATTATTCATGGAGGAATTAATTCAGTAATAGATATTATCTTAAATTGGTTATAAATCCTATTACATAGACAAATATATTATTAAAATAAGTTCTAGGCTAATTCAAAGTTGCTAAATTGTTAAAATTGGATTTTTAGATCTTTAGAGCTATTTAATAAAACCTGTTGATTCAACTACTTTGATATAGATTAAGAATTTATATTTTTTTATAATTTTTAATATAAAGATAACTTATTTGAACATTTTGAATTCAATTATTAGATTAATATAAATTATGAATAATTTTCATAAATATATTTTCTATTATATTTTGGTGGATTTATATTAGATTCAAATAAATTAAAAAGATTATTTACTTTAATATCTTTTTATGATTATAATTCAAAATTATTTAAGGTGCCATTATCATATTAAACTTGTTTTAGTCCTTTATTTAATTAATGTTGAAGTTTTCCATTTAATTCAAATATAGTTTATAATCAAATTGAATTTACTTATTAATGATAATTATTATATGAAGAATTTAATTATAAAATTTTAAATTAAACTAATTAAATGGCATTAAATATAGAAGATGATTATGAAATTAGAAATTGTTATAAATTGTAATGTATTTATATTATTGTAGTCCTTTAGAGATTAAGATAATTACATATTATGTTTAGCTTGTTTTATTTAGATATATATTATTAATAAATAATTTAAATAATTAATATGGATAATTGATGATAGATGAAAAATTATCAAATTAATATTATCCATTTTAAAATGAAGAACTGTTACCTTTTTATGGTTGTAAATTATTTTAAAATAAAGAAGATTAAATATGTCATTTATCATTAGATATTCATTTAAATATTAAAACTCAATATATATAATGTTTAAATGGATATTATTTTAGTAATGGAAAATGTTTAAAATAAAAATAGATCATTCCTAATAATCAAATTATAATTTATCTTATGTTATTTATGGATACTTATGTAGTTATTATAAATTATAATTTTCTTTCTGAAAATTGATTAATTTACAAATAACTTAATATTAATTTTTATTCTCTTTTCTTAATAATGATAAAATTATCCTGAAAAATTTAATTGTTACTTTTATATTATTAGGATATTATTCATAAGCAAATTTAAATCACTTTGAACAATTTGGAATCATATTGTGCTGAATATATATTTCATTAAATGTTTTAAAATATGCAGCATATATATATATATTCTTATTATGAAGTATTATTTTTAACTGAAATTTTAATTTCTAGTTTTATTAATACTATTTTACACATTTTTGAAAATATTCTGATTATTTTTTAGTAAAAATTATAAGTTATTTGATAAAATAAGAAAGAAAATAAAATCTAAATTTCAAAATTTAATTAACTATGAGCTGTTTTTGAATAAAACTTAACCCTCAGATTAAATTCAGAAAAAAATCTTCTACAGATTTAATCTAATCAACCAATCTCTAAAAAAGATTGAAATCATATAATAAAAAAACTAATTAGGAACATTATAAGTCAACATGAAAATTTAATAACAAATATCTTAAATACTGAAGAAAAAAATTAATATGATGGAATTGCAAATTTAAAATATTATACTTTAATACCCAATAAAAAACTCAATTATATTTTGAAATAATTTATTTTAATTATTTTATAAATATATATAACCTATGCTTTTTAATTAATCTAAAATTTTTATAATTTTTTTAACTTTATTTCATATTTAAAGTTTAGTACTAAAGTTAGAATCTTTTAAAAAAATAATTTAAGTAAACCTTCAAAATTTAACAAATCATTCAAGCACTTAAGTTAAAAGAAAAGTATCTGATATCAAATAAATTACTGTTGTATATAAAATAGTTTTTTATTACTAATCTACTTTGATTAATTAATAATTATAAATTAAGAATTTAATATAAATTTTATATAGGATTAAATTATTATACTTCCATAAAGTGTTAGATTAATCTATATATAAAAATATAGCTTATATTTACAAAGCCCATGAAACTTTATGCTGTCATGGTAAATAATAATAATCTATTGTTAAAAATTTTCGAATACATATAATACTATTTTAAAATAAAATTTTAATCACTAATAGATAGTGTTAAAGTTTGTAATCATTTTTAATTTTATTTATAATAAACTAAGATGATATTTGGTAATTTTTACTGGAAGAAAGAATCATTTAAATTCATATAGAATTGTCTTATATTAAATTATTTAATCTTTTAAATTATCAATTTAAATATTATTTTTATATGTTTAAAATAGGAAATTTTAAAAGGAAAAAAACATCGCTTATTTAAATAATTAAGTTGTGGACTATAAATATATTTTAAAATATTTATATATAATCATTGCAAAGGAAATATTAGAGTTTTTTGAAAGGATATTTTGTAATGAATGAATTAATGTTTATAATATAATTTAACTGCTATATCGTTTATTATATGAATTAAATATAAAAGAAAAATAAGAATTATTTGGAATAATGAAAAAAATTTTGAACAACTTTGAGAAATAAGATATATTTGGTGTCCCGGTTAGTCTATTAACAAATTAAGAAAATGAAAAATTTTAAAGCAAAATTGGTGGAATTGCAACTGTTTTAGTAAGTAGTTTAAGTTTTGTATATTTTTGTTATGTATTTGTCTTATGGAAAAGTAATTAATTATCTCCAACTATAAGTTCAAAATAAGAAATATTAGGGTATGCTGAATTTTAATTAGAAGAGTCTTTAATTGAAATATAATTGTTAGACTTTACTGGGGATGTTGATCCTTTTTAAAAAGAAAATAATATTATTACTCCTCTTTTATTTACTTTTATAAATACAACAATAGAAGATGAACCAATACCTTTATTTTCTAATAAAATACAACCATATCGAATAGTATTAGATAATATTACTATAGTACTAAATTCATTATTAAATTAAGATAATAATAATTACTAATAGCAAAGATAATATTCAATTGTTTTTGCAAAATGTTAATAAGATTATGTTAATTTTGGTAGTTATTGTGCAGATGAAAATACTATTAATAATTATTTATCAAAATTTCATGGATTTTTATATTTAACTATTTACTTAAGTAAATTAAATATACTTACAAAAGAGTTTGAATAATTTAAAAAGTAATATTACACAGGTTTTGATCCAAATAAACCTTTTTATTCTTAAATCATGTTGAAATAATAAAAAACAATTATTGATGATGGAATATTATTTAATAGTTATGAGCATTATAATTTTTTAAATAACTTTGAGCTTATAAGTTAAGAAACTGATAAAAATTTTGCAATTAATGTAATTAATACAGTCTCAAAATTTAATTATAATTTTGAAAGTTATGGTTGTTATCTTTTTAGAATTGATAATATTTCACTATAAGAGGAAATTACATATCCTAAATTGGGATAAGTCTTAGCTTAAATTGGTTCTATTATTCAATTAATATTTCTAGTTAAACATTTTGTGTTATACTATAATAATTAATTATTAGAAAATTTGTTATTAAATTCTATTGTTAATATGTATTATCCAGAACTTAAAGAATTTAAAACTAATTTTTTAAATTAAATTTCAATCTAAAATGAACATAATTACAATATGAAAATACCTTGGAAAACTTTTAAATAGATTCATAAAGTCTTTTTATAAGGAGCTCGAAAAAAATGTAGATTAGTAAATATACTTTATGAGATTTCAAGAATATAACTTATATTACAAGAAAAATTTGGTGATCAATTATTATTAAAAAGCCATTAAATGGGTGCAATAATAACTGAAAATAAATTAGATTAAATTAATTCAAAAAAATCAAATCATTTATAAATCAAACCTTTTGATCCTTTTGAAATGGAAAATCAATCTGAATCTTTAGAAGAGTTAGAACTTTTGATTTAATAAAGATGATAATGTTATAATATTATTATAACTTGATCAGAATATATTTATTATAATAGAAAATTTACATTTTTTATATATTATACTACAATATATTAATAAATGATTCTTTTTTTGTTATTTTCAAATGATTATTTATCACAAATTATTTTAGCCTAATCTTTTAATTATACAATTTAAAAAAAAGTTAAATTTTTCTTATAATTTAATTCAATTTTCATTTTATCTAAATAAATAAGTTTATTTTAAGAGTAAATTTTAATTCATTTATGTAAATAATAAAATAAAGAAGATCTTGGACTTATGATATATATTATCTTAAAATATTGAGTAGATTTTCATTCTATTTTTATGAATATGATAAATTTCAAAAAAAACAAATTATAAAACTAAAATTATCTTTATATCTCTAATTGAAAATAATACAAATTAATAATATTAATAAAATTTTTAAAATTTGANTAATTAATACAGTCTCAAAATTTAATTATAATTTTGAAAGTTATGGTTGTTATCTTTTTAGAATTGATAATATTTCACTATAAGAGGAAATTACATATCCTAAATTGGGATAAGTCTTAGCTTAAATTGGTTCTATTATTCAATTAATATTTCTAGTTAAACATTTTGTGTTATACTATAATAATTAATTATTAGAAAATTTGTTATTAAATTCTATTGTTAATATGTATTATCCAGAACTTAAAGAATTTAAAACTAATTTTTTAAATTAAATTTCAATCTAAAATGAACATAATTACAATATGAAAATACCTTGGAAAACTTTTAAATAGATTCATAAAGTCTTTTTATAAGGAGCTCGAAAAAAATGTAGATTAGTAAATATACTTTATGAGATTTCAAGAATATAACTTATATTACAAGAAAAATTTGGTGATCAATTATTATTAAAAAGCCATTAAATGGGTGCAATAATAACTGAAAATAAATTAGATTAAATTAATTCAAAAAAATCAAATCATTTATAAATCAAACCTTTTGATCCTTTTGAAATGGAAAATCAATCTGAATCTTTAGAAGAGTTAGAACTTTTGATTTAATAAAGATGATAATGTTATAATATTATTATAACTTGATCAGAATATATTTATTATAATAGAAAATTTACATTTTTTATATATTATACTACAATATATTAATAAATGATTCTTTTTTTGTTATTTTCAAATGATTATTTATCACAAATTATTTTAGCCTAATCTTTTAATTATACAATTTAAAAAAAAGTTAAATTTTTCTTATAATTTAATTCAATTTTCATTTTATCTAAATAAATAAGTTTATTTTAAGAGTAAATTTTAATTCATTTATGTAAATAATAAAATAAAGAAGATCTTGGACTTATGATATATATTATCTTAAAATATTGAGTAGATTTTCATTCTATTTTTATGAATATGATAAATTTCAAAAAAAACAAATTATAAAACTAAAATTATCTTTATATCTCTAATTGAAAATAATACAAATTAATAATATTAATAAAATTTTTAAAATTTGATTATAGTTGAAATTTTCTAGTTCTTATATTTAGTTTTCTGATTAATAAGTATAGGGAAAATATTTTCGAACCTTAAAATTCAAATTAACTAAAACATTTTTATATAGATATTTATATTTTAATGAAATTTGCATATAAATAATTGCATATCATAGATATTAATTTTACTTACTAAATGAAATGGAATTTTAAAGAAATGTTCGATTTTAGTGTGTAGAGTTAAAAAAATTAAAGATGAAATAAAAAAGTTAAAGATGAAAAATAAGTAATGCTAATATTTTAATATGTTTAAATTAAAATAAGTTTATGTGATTCTTTTGAATAATAAAATTATTCATAACACTCTTAATGATGATATAATATAAGTAAATATGTGGATAGATTAAGTAAATTAATCAGTTGACAAATTTAATAAATGTAATATGATGAATCTCTTTCATCAATTGAAAAAGAGTAAATAACTAATAAAATTTATTTCTTAAAGTATTAAGGATAGAAGTCTTAAATCTATTAGAATAAATTATTTAAAATTTTTAATGGAAAAATATTTGCAATCCTCTTATTTCAATAATTCTAATATGCTATACTAAATGCCTTAACATTTTAAATTAAAAGTTAAAGTTTATTTGTGAAATTATTAAAATTATTTTGTGCTTTTTTATAGATCAATTATGTTTTTTTTGAGCTATTTGATGTTGTATATGAGAATTAATTGATCTTGAATTGTAGATATTTAAAATTATTGAATATACATTTTAAGAGCCCTTTAAAAACAAAAATTGAAGTTCAATCCTTGTAGAGAGATAATTTTTTATTTTATTATTTTGATTCTAAATTATGATGTATTTTATTTATTTTATGATGGTGAATGTTTGTTAAAAAAATTAAAATGTTGTATATTTGTTTTTGGAAAAGGAAAGATTAGTTGATTATTATATAGATGAGTCTATTTAATTGTTGATATTAGAATAGTATTTATAATTAGAATTCGAAATGCTAAGTTGTAACTCTCTTAAAAATTTTCTATATAGTTTCACTAATATTTAAAGATATTAGATGTTATATATAATTACGAAAAAGAATTGATTAAAAAAAAAGCATAAAATTAATAATTAGATGAAGTAAATATTTCTCAGATTAAAATTTAATTTTAAGGTATTTTTTGAATTTTTTTAAACTAGATGATTCTTATAACCAAAAATAGATTTTACAATAAGATTTATTGTTAAGAATTAATAAAAAATATGAATTGAATTGAATATTAAAAATATTATGATTTTCAAAGTTCATTAGAGTGATGTAAATAAATTCTAAATGAAATTTTGTATTAATATTTGTAAAGAAAGGATATTTGAATGATTAAATGGATATTATTTAAATTAAAATAATTTTGAAAGCCTATATTTTATAAACGATAATAGAAAAAGCAAGAATTAAAAATAATTAAATAGGTTTATGTATGTTTACATTAATAAAAAATACTGATAGGATTATTAGTATGAATAATTAAAAGTCTTTTAGAGAAAGTTTAAAAACAATAATAGTAAAAAACATATATAAGTATTGTAAATAATATTGTTCAACAGTGAAATTATAATACGCATAAATTGTAATAATTATAATAAATAAAACCCCGTTGGATTAATTATTAAACAAGAACAATGTTCTCTAATATATTTTATTATAATAACTTGATTTCGATGTATCTTGAGGCTTCTTAATATAATGTTCTTTCATATATAGGGTGTGGCTCTGATCATACAATCTATAAAGTTGAAAATAGCTTAACCCAAGAGTTATGTGCAATAAAAATAGAAAAATCAGCTGGAATAGGTTAAATAAAAAATGAAATCGAAATGCTTAAAAAATTACAGGGTATTTCAGGTATTCCTGAATTAAAATCATATGGAATAACTTCAGATAATAAGTATTTATTATCTACAGTTATTAAGATTGTTTATTATTGTTCCATTGTTTCAATATAACTTAAAAGAAGTAGCCAAAGAGAAACAATTATCATTATCATAAATATTAAGAATTGGATTGAGAATGACTGAAATCTTAGAAAATATTCATTGTAACAATGTCCTACATCTTGATTTAAAACCAGAAAACATTATGTTTTCAAAATAAATTTAGGATGATTAGAATACCATAAAACCTGAAATTATATAACTAATTGATTTTGGTTTATCACAAAAATTTAATCAAAATTCAACATTTTTAAAAGATACGTTTATAGGTTCATTAAGTTTTGCAAGCAGATAATCTCATAATGGAGAATAACTTGGATTTAAGGATGATCTAGAAAGCTTAATATATATTTTAGTTTACTTAAGAAATTGTAATTATACTTTTCAATCTTAGAAAAATTACCATGGTTACAGAAACCTTCTTGGGGATGTAAAAAAGTAGATATTTAAATTATTGGTAAGGTAAAGACATTTCATTATAATTCTTAAACTTTATATTCAAATTTTCCTTTAGGCTTTTAAGATATTATGTAATATATAGACACATTAAAATATTATGTTATGCCAGATTATTCCTATATCAAAAGTCTATTTCTAAAAATGCTATAACCCTACTCATCTTTTTTTTAAACTAAATAAATCTCATCATTTTAAAATGTAATTAATACTTCAATTATCTTATACAATCCTAATGAATAAAATAGCGAAGAAGATATTATAAGTTGTGAAACTAAATATGTTCTTATCTCAAAAGTTATAAGTAAATACGCAACCAATTAAATTAAATCAATTAGTCATATTTAATCTTGATATGAATATTATTATCACTTTCATTTTGTTATAACTGTTACTTTAATTAATCAAAATATTTATCAATCAATTTAAGTTTTTATTTGTTTATCAAACAAAGTTATCATTTCTATCTTAAATTAAGAATATATTATTTAGATTATATATCAATTATAAAATAAGTTTAACAAAAACTTATAAAACTATTTTTTATTTATTTTTAACCACTTTTAATAATCTATAATTACTATATAAGATTTTGTCATAATTAAAAAAAAAATGATATTGTATTTATTTTTGTTATATTTTCTTCTTAAACATTCTCATTCTGTGTTGCCTCTTTATCAAGTTAATTTAATTTTACTGAAGATAAAATCCATTTGACAAAAATTATTCAATAATATTCATTTAAGCAGTCAAAATATTGATATTATCCAATATTAAATCCATCTTGCCAAAATCCTATAAATAGCTCTTTGTTTTTCAATAATTATTAATCTTATAATATAATAAATAAATTGATTTATAAGATATTTTCATTTAAAAATTAAGTATGAATGAAAAAATCGATCAAAAATGCTTATTTTCTCAGAAATAATTATTAGAAAATTTATGGGTTAAATGTTTTAGATAATTTTTATTAATTTTTTTCAAAGATTTAATTGTCTAACAAATTGATTAGAAAATGATTGTTTGGATCAATTTTAAATTAAATTTAATAGAAAAAGATAATAAAAACCTTTAATTATATTTGTAAGCAATGCCCAATCAAAATAATTAAAAGCGAATTTGATCATATTTTAATAATTAAAAACAAATTGAGACCTTATAATGTAAAACAACTATTATTAAAAATTTATGGTTTATATCTATGAAGAATAAAAAAAGAAAAAAATGACCATTAATTTTAATTTTGCTTTATATAATATGATATTTTGAATTGAATTTTTGGATCTTAAAATTTTGTCATTTTTTGCAAAAAATGGTCTATTTCAATTATTCCAAAACAAAAGGCACCATATCAAAATTTAAAACGAGGGCCCCAAGTAAAAAATCATCTTATCTTAATTAATATCTCTATTATATATAAAAAATAATGACCTTTTTGTGCCCGACCATTAAATGTAGATCAAATTATATGTACAAATTATAGATTATTATTAAAAGCATTGGATATAGAGTGGTTTAATCAATAATAAAAACAAACAATGCAAAAAACAAGGTTAAAATAAAAGGGATTATCATAGCTTTCTTTGAAGAGAAATCAAAATATTTTTTTTAAATTATAATCAGTATAGTTAATCCTGAAACCACAAAAATATAAATATTAAATGTTAAGAAAATAAAATTGTCTAATTTAATAGAATAATGAATTACATCCAACTTCTAATTTTTAAACAATAAAGCAAGAGATTGCAGAAATTGCATAGCTTTCAACTAAAGTAAAAAGGAATAATATAATATATTTTTATGGAGATTTTCTTGCCTAAATCTTCTCACATTAAATATAGCAAATTATGCTTATGGCAATAAAAATAGCTATCAAAAAAGCCCAAATTTATTCTGTAAGCCAACAAAAAGAATATTTAATTGAAACATTTGGAGCTAAAAGCAAAAAAAATTGTTAAAGGCTAAAGCAAATATACACCTATTATTTATAATATTATATTAACAAACATTTTTTATGAAGTTTAATCTACTATCTTATGAATTGTCTACTTCAGGTGCATCGGGTATTAAATGAGCTACCATATATAAATGTTCTTTATCTTCAGAATACTTTTCCATTATTAAATAAATAGTTTAATAAAATATAATTACTTTATTAAATTCAATAAAATATTATAGAAGATCATTTAGAACTAATATGTACGATTAGATTGATCTATTTATATAATTATAATTATTTCGATAAATTACTTCAACTTAAGCATAATAAATAATTACATCCAATTATAACTTATTTTATAATCAAAATTTTAATCGGTTCTCTCTTTAGAATCAATAAAATTTTATGATTTAAAATTATCATAAATCACAATATCTGGGACAAGACTTCATTATTTTAATCAGCAATTTAATTTATTTTAGGGGAGATAAAAGTATTTTATTTTACATTATAAATCACATATAATTATGAGTATATTCTTAAGTTCTTTTCATAAGATTTATATAAATTACAAAATTATAAATTCTGAATGATGTCTAAACTAGATATTTTAATTAAATAATTCAAGTTAAAATCCATAAACTAAAAGTTTCTAAATCCTATTTAAGTCTATCTAAAAATCATTAAAATTTATAACAAGCATACATTATCATCTTTTATAATATTATATTTTGGTTTTTTAAGAGCCTACAAAATGAGTCTATAATTGCAGTCAAAATATTATTTTATTCTAAATAAAATAAAATAAATGTATTATATTATAAATTTATATAAAAAAGTTATCCCATCAAATTTTCTATTAATAACATTTTATTCATAAAAATAAATGAAAAAAAATTATTAATTTTGAGAGATTTATGGATATTTTTATTTTGTGTAATCAAAGAATGAATATTTTTAAAGCTATTCAATTTTATTTATGTCAAAAGAAAAATAAAATTTATTCATTTAGTTTTATGAAGATTATCTTATTTCTTAAATAGAAATATTAGTTTGAGTAAGTATTTGTCTTTTTTGATTTATTTTACAATTAATCTTGATTAAAATAGCAAATTTAGAATTAATCAAATTAAAATTTCGATTTTGTATATAATAAGGGTACCTAAAAAGAATTAAATAATTAAGTAGTTTTAATAATTGGTTTAATTTTAATGTATTCTTCTATATAATCAGAATATTAATTTCAAATTTTTTTAATTTAAGATTCTTCATTTTTGTAAATTGTGGTTATAATTCTGAGTAAATTCATATATTATTATTGAGTTTGTTATATAGTTTTACAATGAATGATCGATTCTTAATAATTAAATTGTAGTCATAATGAGTTTATAAAAAGTAATTGTTAAATTATATTTTTTGAGATTGAATAAAGATTTACATCAATATAAAATTATAAAAATTAATTTGTAAAATTATTGTCTACACTACTTCCAAATGAAGTAATTAGAACATTTGTATATGTTGATATGAAAATTATCTAAGATTTCATTTATATTTTCAATTGTGAGATTCAACATAATACAAAAATAAATTTTTATCTATTAAAAAATATTTATAGAATTTTAGAAATATTATTAAAAATATGTAATATTCATTTTTTGTGATTAGTTTCCTCGTCTTGTCTCTAATTGAAACAACCAAATCTAAATGGTAAGTGGTTAAGGGATTGCTGAAATCAAACGAAAAATTTATAGAAACGTATCAACCCTTAGCATATATCTATTCAGGTTATTTTGTTATGCCTGATGATTACTAAATGACAGCTAATTTTATCACATGTGCTTCACCATTTACAAGCTATATAGCTTTATGTAAGAGCAATCCTACAGCTAAATATTATGAATAAATGCTATTCATAGCAGGAGATATTATGACTTTTGATTTAATTTTTTTAGGTACTTGGAATAATGAAGCTGTGATACTCAATATAGGATAGCAATTGACATTTACTTTCAATTATATATCTCCATAAATATATCCAATAATGTCAAGTATTTGTGATAATTTAAATGTGGATATTAAAACAGTAAATATCAGTATACCAAACACAATTTAAGATAATTTTGAATTCACTTCATCTAATAATGATTAAGGATCAGTTTATATGAGAAATATTTATATTTCAAGATTGAATTAGGCATTTAAATGTTATCCATCATGTTTAAGTTGTACTGGTCCCTAGTTCGATTAATGTTTTAGTTGTTATTATGGAATTCCTACTAATAATATTTGTCCCCTTTGTTAATCAAATTTATTTCACTCTCAAATTAATGGTTGCAAACCAATATGTGACATTTATTCTGCATATTATAATAATGGATTTTGTTAAAGTTTTCCTGGTAAATTAAATATTATATTATTTAAGTTTATACATTCTTAAATTGTTAATTCTAGAATATACATTCAACTTAATTGAAATTTTGGTCAACAATCTTTGATTTTTAACACATTTAAACATCAAACTTTGAGATAATTTAGGAATACTAAATTTATGGTATATTTAAATTTAATTATGGCATATAAAGATTTATAAATGAAGTTCAATCTTCAATTTAAGGAGTTTATTTATTTGGAATAAAGATTTAAATTGTACTTTTTAATGATATTCCTACAAATTGTGGGATATAGTTTTATATTAACAATCAATATTATGGATCAATTTATAAAGATGCTACTGGAATTTAATCTCATAAATTCACAATATATGATAACTACAGCTTACAATCATATTTAACTTACACTTAATGTACTTAATATGATTTAATCACTTATGCTTACATCAATCCTTATGCTGATGAATTTTCGATTTCAATAATCGGAAATTATACGTAAATATTTATATATAACATAAGTGATAATTCAGCTGGATGGGGAATCAAATCTCTTTTAATTACTTCAGGATATTGTCCTTAACCATGTTTAATATGTGAAGTACCATTCTAATGTTCAAAATGCTAAATTAATTATTACATCTACAAAGATGGTACATGTATAGAGGCTTGCGATTAACCATATTAAAAAATTGTTGGTACATATTGCCATGATTATGATGCTGAAACTCCACGTATCAAATTCATTTATCATTAAAGATTCCAATTATTTAATATAAGAATATATTGATGCTGCTACAGATCTTGGCTAATATTCATAATATACATTAATATCCCAGAATGGAAATAATTTCTTAAAAGGACAAGATATTTACTTTTCCTATTTTCAAGGATATAGAGTATTTGGAGGACAATATGTTTGGGCTTAAGCTAAATTTTAAAGATCTCATACAATTATTAATCCTCATCATAGCATAACTATTGGGTTTTATATTATTTATGGTCCATCATTTCCTTTAAATGGGAAATTCATCTATACCATATAAAATAATTCACCTATTGAAAAAACAAGAAATAGTTACATCAAGATATTCAATGACGGAACAAGAATAGATAAAGTTTATGAAAAAATCATTCATTATACAAATACTCTTACTATTTCTTGGGAATGTTTTGGCTTAAATAATGAACCAATTACTGCCTATTGTGGTTTTTATAATTATTATATAGCTGTTCATCATTGCTAACCTTTTTGTTTAGAATGCTTAGATTAATATGTTTGTACTTAATTTAATAGTACATATGATTCTAATATAGTAAAATTTTAAGAAGATTGTTTAATTCATTAATATTATGATAAATACTCTTTATAGTGTTTGGATTGTCCTCAATAATGTTTAACATGTAAATCATAACTTAATTGTTTAACATGTAAATCTACATATGTAAGGACATAACGTAGTTGTGTTTGTAAAGAAAATCAATATCAGCAATCAAATTAATGTTTTGATTGTCCACTTTATTGTAGTTAATGTATAAGTCAAACTCATTGTCTAAAATGCCAATAACTTTCTAATAGAAAAATATTAAATGGTTAATGTGTATGTGAGGATGGGTCTTATTTGGATAATTTAAATTAAAATTGTATACCATGCCATTCCATATGTAAAACTTGTATTGGACCAACTGCTAATGAATGTTAAACATGCTAGAATGTTTAATTTATAGAAAAGGTAGGTTAAACATGTTAATGTTAATAAGGAACATTCTTTTTTAATGGATTAAAGAAATGTTAATAATGTCATGAATCATGTTTAACTTGTTTTGGAGGTACAAAAAATGATTGCCTTTTATGTAATTCAAATCAAAATAGAATTTTAAAAGGGTTATAATGTAAATGTTAACCTGGTTTTTAAGAAGTGAATAATGTTTGTATAAGTAAGTGTTACTATTTATTTTAGGTTGTCCTTCTATTGAAAATAGCTTACTCAAATAATGCTATAAGAAATGTAGTGGTACATTATTAATATGGCATAATAGTAATTGCAATAGTTGTGATTCAGGATTTACTATGGTATTAGGAGAATGCTAACCAATTTGTGGGGATACTCAAATAGTAGGATTTGAATAATGTGAAGATAATAATAATGTCTTGGATGATTTATGTTATAATTGCTAATTTTAATGTCCATCATATTGTATAAATTGTGATTCAACAACAATATTACCTTGTGATAGTATTTGTGGAGATGGAATCATATCAGGAAATGAATAGTGTGATGATGGAAATTTTATTGCATATGATGGATGTTTTAATTGTTAATATTAATGTTAAAAATAATGCACAAAATGTATTAAAGGAGAGTGTTTTGAATGTGCTACTTTAGGATGGGAAATAAATCCAAATGTAATACCATTTGAATGTTAAGAAATCTGTGGAGATAGGATAATTGTTGGAAATGAATATTGTGATCATGGAGTTGGAATTTATTAAAATGATTGCGTAAATTGTAAATTTGAATGTAAAGGAGCATGTTCTTCATGTGATTATATTAATAGAAAATGTATAGATTGTGAACTTATTGGATTCAAACCATTAGCTTATTTTTGTATTAATATTTGTGGAGATGGTTTAGTGGTATCACATCCATATGGGTTTTCAGAAGAATGTGATGATGGTAATACATTCAATAATGATGGATGCAATAGTAATTGTCAATTTGAATGTTATTAAGGATCAAAGTGTAAAATTTGTAGATATGGTAATTGTTTAGAATGTGTGACTGGATATAATTTGGTAGATGACTTATGTGTTGTAAATTAAGATCCATCTTGTAATGATAATTTTATATTACCATATAAAGGATGTTAAAATTTTAAACCTATGTGTCAAACTTCTTGTGAATAATGTGATATGTTTGGAAAAGGTTGTTTGAATTGTAAAACTGGTTACAAAATAATTGATTATTTATGTTATTCTATTTGTGGTGATAATATAGTCACTATTGATGAATAATGTGACGATGGTAATATTCTATATGGTGATGGATGTCATTAATGTCAATTTTCATGCTCACATACTTGCATTGATTGTATTAAAGGACGATGTTAGGAATGTATAGATGGTTTTGAATTGTATTTATATCAATGTAAACCTATTTCACTTCAATTAAACAATTGTTAATTATTATGTGATTCTAATTGTTTGATATGTCAATGCGGAATTTGTTAGGTTTGTTCAAATGGATATTATTTATCTTAGAATAATGAATTTTGTATTCAATAATCTACATTCTTAAGTTAATTTATTGATTATTGTAAAATTTAGATAGACTATACTTGTTTAGTATGTCAAGATTTAGCTTATTTAGATTAATTTAAATAGATATGTGTAATTATGTCAAATAGTTGTGTGAAGAATTGTCAATTATGTATTGAGGATTATTGCATATAATGTTAATCAGGATATTATGGAACTAAATGTTTACCTTAACTTGGAGAAGGTATAATAATTGGGGAAGACATATGTTATAGTTCAGGAACACAAATTTTAAATGATAATTTTGAATGTAATCATAATTGTGATAAAAATTGTCTAAATTGTTATAATGGAAGATGTTATTTATGTTAGAATAGAAGTTATTTATTTAATAATTAATGCATTTAAGAGCATTTTCTTGAAATTACATATGTGAAAGATGGATATGCTCAATGTGGAGACTCAATACTAGGTATGAATGAATAATGTGATGATGGTAACAATTATATATTTGATGGTTGTTATGATTGCAAATATTAATGTGATTAATTTTGTGAATAATGCATATTTGGCATCTGTACTTCTTGTATTCAAGGTTTAATTTTAAATTCAAATAATATCTGTGAGCCATTATGTGGAGATAATTTAGTTATTCCATATTCTAATGAATAATGTGATGATATAAATAACAGTAATTGTGTAAATTGTCATTATTAATGCCAATAATATTGTGTAGATTGTAATCTACTTTAATGCTTTTAATGTCAAATTGGATTTTAAGTCAACATGAATGAATGTTAACCATTTTGTGGAGATGGAATTGTTATTAATAATTTTGAAAATTGTGATGATGGTAATGATATTCAATTTGACGGATGCTACAACTGTGAATTTTAATGTACATAATACTGTTCTATATGCAATGAAGGTATTTGCTCTGAATGTATAGAAAATTATCAATTAGTTGATAATTCATGTAATCAAATATCTAATAATGAAGAATAAGAAAATCCTAATGATAATGGAAATACAGATGAAAATAGTAATATTGATGAAAGTGGAAATACAGATGAAAATGGTAATACAACTAATGACAATATAGATGAGTAGAATGATGAAAATAATAAATATCCTAATGATAATGATAAAGGTAGTGCTGATACATAAAATTCTAAAAATAATACGAACTCTAATGGAAAGTCTGATTCAACTAATAATTCTATTAATAATAATAAAACAAATTCAAATAATCCGAACATAAATTAAGGATTATTAGAATAAAAAAATGAACCAATATTATTTGAAATGGCTTGTAGAAATAATGAATGTGTATTTTCTTAAAAACCACGTATGCTACTTGTTTATATTAATTAAATATTTTCTCAGTAGACTATTCATATTAAATTTGATCAAGAAGTAAAATTAGATTAGACAACGTAAATAAATAATCAAATGTTTACTATAACAATCGCAAATTTAAATACTCAGGATTATAAAATCATAGTAGAGTCTCTTAAAGACATATCATCTGATTTACAATTTATTGAATATCAAGTGATTATAGATATATTTGTATAACTTGAATCTAAACCAAATCTAATAGTTTAACTTGATCAAGAAATTACTAACTAAAATAATCAAACAATTTCAAATAATAATCAAACCATATTGCTTGAAATACCTAAAATTCTCTCTCAAAAAAACAAGCAAACCTCAATAACTATGTAAAAGTCCAATAAAGGTTTTATTATAGGTGCTCTTTCAATTGCATCAATTTCCTTACTTTCCGGAGAAAGCTCTATATTCATTGAAACCTTCAATGTACTTTAGTATCAATCGTATTTTAAATTTATCAATGTTGATTATCCTGAAAATCTTTTCCTTTACTTTGAAGCTTAGGATATGCTATCAGTGTAATCTTATATAAATTTCCTTCAGATTGATGATTTTTTGAAATTCATCACAGGATATTAGAATTAAACTTAAATCTAATTAGTTGGAAAATTTGAATTGTATAATATAGAAATTGATCTTTTGACTAATATTTTCCCTTAAATTTTTTAATGTTTTTTGATGGTAGCATTTTTTGCTTGTGCTGGAAAATTGTTTTAATTATATCTTAAATTAAGGGCATATAAAAATTTTTTATAGATTCTCAATTCCACAAAATCTAAAATCCTTACTCCTATCCTATCCTCAATACTTATGATAAGTTACAACATTAAATTATTTATTAAAATGAGATACTTTTCTTCATAAAATTCAATCAGATAGCTTATTTAATTAAATGCATGGGATTTGATTTTTAAAATATTCTTATCTATTCAAAACCATCCTATTAACAATTTTAGAAATGTAATTTCAAACCTAATATCATTTCTAATTTTAATCACTTTTATCAATTTCATTCTGAAATCAATTCAATCCTAATTAAAAAATAAAAATATCAAAAAAAAATCTGACATTTAGTTTATCACTTTAGATATGGTAAGGACATCAATATTCCATTTTGTTTTAGTATTCTTCTAAAAATAATAAATGTTATAAAGTTTGCTTATTTTTATAATCAATTTAAGTTAATGTTTGGTTATTTTCAAATACAAGTAATGTTCAAAAGCAGAAAAATATGTATCTTTGATAATTGAAGGAATATTATCAATATTTACTCTGACATTGATTTGTTATACGAAAACTGCTGAAATGTATCTTTCACCCTAAAATATTATAACTTTAGGTTTTATTCATATGTATTTATTGCTTTCCACTTTGCTAATCGTTTTTATAAAGCAATTAATACCTCAGGTTCTAAAGATTTCTTAATTAAAATGCAAAAACAATTAAGAAAAACGTGCTAGCAATTTATTATTTTTTTGAAAATGAAATGATAATTTTAAAAGATAAAAACATAATTATAAAAATTTTATTTACGCTATTTATCATTAACTCAAACATTTATTGGATTAATTAATTTTATTTAAAATAATATAAAATTTTTATAAAAGCCAATTTTAAATGTATGTTAACTAAGATGGTAATAAATAATTTTATGATCAATCTCTCAAAATAGAAAATGAGGATAGAGACAAAATAGAGATAAAAAAGAAAGATTTAGACAATTTAAGGAATATTATTTTATATTTACTCTATCAATTCTCTATTATTAATTACTATTTATAAGTAAAGTTTATTTATGGGTAGCTAAAGTTCTCAATTATCAAGGAATCTCCTTCAAGTATATCTGAATCTTTAACTTATACTAATTTTTCTATATTTGCTTATTGATTTCATTTTTTTATTGCTTAAAATGATTCGAAAAGAATCTATGAACTAAGGCAAGGCAGTAATGATGAGAGGTGTCTCAAAAAATTAATACATAAAAATTCACAATTTAAAATTCTTCCTACGAAATTGAAATTCAATCTTTTAATGCATATTAATTGAAGAAATTGAGATAAACTTTTTTTAATAATTTATAAATTTTTATAATTTTCAATATCTTACACATATTTACAATAATATCTATTAATATATATTATCATTATTCTTTTATTTTTTAAATATCTGGTT